GCTCGGCCGGATTGAGAGGATAGACCTTGCAGTCTAGACTGGCCTGAGCATTAGGGATTAGCTCAATGGCGTGGTCCCAGGGCTTGCGAGGGGGCAGTTCGTCGAAGTTCTCTTTGGCAAAGACGTCTCGGAACTCCCGGTATGGTTCTGGTACTATTTCTTCAAACGTCTTGGCCCCCTTGGCTTGGTTTGCTTTGGCAGCTAATTCGTTAGCTTTGCTCCCCATGGCTCGTACATGTAAGGCTTCCTGAAAGTCTATGACCAGGATGGTATCTCCCTCTTCTATCTCGGTTCCCCATTGCTGCTCCGGATCTTCGTCGGGAAGGCGAAAAGGTATCTGGCGACAGGCGCACCTGGCTAACGTTACGGCTCCCGTTTTCCAGTCGATGATGGGATTATGCCGCTTGAGCCAGTCATGTCCCAGGAACAGGGGTACGTTTCCTAGATCCACGACGGCTAGGTCGATTTTTTCATGATGGTCCCCAATTGTCATTCGGAGCTCTACTACTTCTGTGATATCTCCTCCCTTGTTTCGACTCCCATCCACGTTGTATACCGCCTGTGCTTTTGGCAGTTTTACCGTGTTCATTTGTTGTTCTTGTACGAACGTTCGGTTTATACAGCTTCCGGTGCAGCCACTGTCGACTAGAGCGTCGACAGCGTGTACCTGTCCGGTGTCTAGGGTCTCGAGTTGTACTCAAACGTTGACGCTCCTTCCCCTTCCTCCTCGAATGTATTGCGGAGGTGCACACAGGTTCTGCATGTTTTGCAAGCATTGTTCCCGCTGTCGGTAGGTTTCTTTAGAAGATCCGAGTAGGTCTACTACAAGGTCTTCGTCCACCTCGATGAGTCGTCGGGGGTGTACCCACATCCGAAGGGTGGCGAGTCTGCCGTCCATGGTTTTTTCCTGCCTCATTTTTCTTCGCACCCATTCCGCGCTGTGGGGCTTAAGCCACCCTTTGTCCCATTTGTCGTTGTAGTATTCCTCTTCTAGGTCGGTGACTTTGTAGTCTTCTGGGTACTCCTCAGTGTGGATCACCGGGTCTTCCCCTTGTGACTTAAGACTTTGTTGATAGCTATAGTCGTCTTCCTCATCGAGCACTTCTTCCAGGGAAACAGGTTTTTTATTACAAATGGGAGTTTCACATAATGGTCCCACCGACCCGCCCACCGAGAGACACGAGCTCCCGGTGCCATTATGTGTTAGCGATGACGAGGGGAGACGTACCGTGATTGGAGGGGAAATGATGATGTCCCCGGTCGTCTGGACTGTTGTTTGCGGGGCGGCATTTTTCTTGCTGGGGATTCGCGTTCCCTCTTGCGGCTCCGTCGGGTCAGGGTAGTTGGCCGCATAGGGCAGGTGCGTACGTTCCGCCTTCAGGCGAGGCCCTGCATCGTTCCGCTCCCGCCTGGAGGCGCCTTTGCCCACTACTGGCTCGGCCGCTCTTCCTCCGTTTTCTGCGCCGGTACCTACCCTCCACGGAGCGATGTTGACTTTGATCCCGGGTATCCCGCCACCTTGCACAGCCTGCGCTGCTTGTGCTTTCGCACCGGTGGCCAAGGAGCTTGAATGGGGTTCTCCTTCGAGCACGGTGGAAATCCCCTGTACACCGTTTCTTTTATGCGACTTGATAATTTCATTTTGTGATAGCGTGAAAGATTTGTCATTGCCTCGAGGTACTACATGCGGTACATTAGTCCGACCTGCGGGATTCTGTGACGCACCACTAGATGAAATTGTGTCCTTTGCCGACGCGCGTTTGTCGCTTATGCCGCCAGCTCGTCTTTTACCTCCTCGACCTTTGACGCAGAGGCCTCTCCTTCTTCGTCCTTCAATACTTGCTGGTACATTGCGCGGATTTGGGCATGCGAGAACTTGGGCTGGTGCTTGACGAGCCACGTACTTTCGTCTTTGGGGCACTTGTTGTCTTGCTTCCGATGACCCTTGTGGCCGCAGCAGAAGCATCACCCTTTGCAGAGACGATCTATCTCCATGGGTTGACCTTGGCCCCCATACGTGGTGCCCGTTCCTGTCTTCTTGTCACCCTGGGAATTCCCGGAGCTGCCGGCTTTTCCCGTTCCCTTGTTCTGTTGTCCCTGCGTTCCCTGGCTTCTGCCGGCATCTTCCGCTAGTCCCACACGATAGTTGTAGTCCATCTGTTCTACCCGGAACTTCCACTCGGCATAGGTGCATGGAAGCGCTGTTCCCGTGGCGTGTATGGCGGTCTTTACGTTTTTGCGGATTGCCGGTTTGAGTATTTCGATCATGTACTCCTCATTGTGACGTTTTCCGGACTCTTTTGCTAATCGCTCGAAGTCGCGGAAGAACCCTTTCGCCGATTTGTACGTGTTCTGACGGAGGCGTTTGAACTCCTGTAGCTTGAGTTCTACTTCCGCGTCGGTTCGGAACTGATCTTCTATGATTTGTCTGAAAACATGCCATGCAGGGTATCGCAGGTATCCGCATGTTTCATCATAGTATTTGTCTCGGGCATGATTCCACCAGTGCAAGGCCTCGTCGGTGAGTCGGAATGTGCAGAACACCACCCGGTTAGGGTTCTGTCCATGCGCATTCATAGTGAATTGTTGGGGAAATACGTTGAAATAGTCTTCACACTGGTTGAGGAACCGGTCTATGTCGTTGGACTCCCCCTTGAACTTCTCGGGGGGATCTGCGAGTTGCGGTTTCACCTGTCCCCACGGATTCGTGTTGGCCACCCCTACGATGAAGGGTGGCGGCGTATTCGGTGGTTGTACGGGGTCAGCGGGGATAGGGATTGCTGCCGGTCGTGGTAATGATCGTAATGCCGGGTTATGATGTGGGGTTAATGGGTCTTGTGGCGCAGGAGCTGGTGCTGCGGGTTGTACTGGTGCCGCAGCCCCCGCGCTTCCTGGGGTTCCTGTGGCTGCAAATAGCCAGCTGGGGTCGACGTACCCTGTCCTTTTGAGGATTGATAGGTGGCTCAAGTCCACTGTGCTTCCGCTCGACGTTTCTGATGGTGCTGGCACCTGGTACCTCTCTCCGGGGTCCGTGTAGTCATCCGGATGTACTTGGTTCCACAGGGTGTTGGTGTGAAAAATTGTTTCTCGGTAAATTACTTGGGCCCCGATCTGGGAATTCTTTTCCTTCTGGAAGTACCTTCCTTGCGGTGAACTGTTCCATGACAGTTCCCGTGGTAACTTCCTTTCAATCCATCGCAGCATTTCCAAGTATGTCATATTTTCTAGCTCGGCCTCAGTAGGCTCTCGAACTAGATCCTTCCACGAATTCTGGGATAACGTCCTCTTCTCCGTATTCTCCGACCCTATGCTGCTGCTGTAGATCGAAGTCTGCCCTATTCCAGGGTTCTCGTAGATTTCGCCTTCTTCTAAGTCCGATAGGTCAGACTCGCTCGAAAGGCTCCGTGCTTCCCGTGACGATATGGTTCCAGTTTCTGACGATTCGGGCCCACTCATTGACCCTGAGAATGACCTGATCGAAGTCGGGTCTTCGGGGTCGATCCCATACCCAGGGTGCGATGTAAGGGACTGGGGCTGCATGGGGGTGCTCTGGTGCGAGCAGATAGATTGCGTAGGGAGTGACGGAGGCAGGGGGCTGGATTCCTTCGTACATGAGCCAGGCATCGGCGTAGTCCTGTGTTTGTCTGCATATATCGCAGCTGGCGTCTGCATCGTAGGTGGGGCCACATCGGTCAAGCTCGGTAGTGGCTTCCCCGGCCCTATCGTTGATGATGATTGGGGTGTTGGGACACATGACGAGCTGAAGGTAGCTTCCTTCGTCGTCTGAAGAGTCATCGCGGGCGTAGTAGTAGCCCCAGGTTTCTCCTCTGGAGTCCAACCTGGGAGGTGACCAGTTGTTGCGTGGCCCTGGGAGCTCGTCGCTGTCACTGTCCTCCTCTGTATTGCTGCCTTCTTCATCTGAACTGCTTCCAGTTCCATCTTCAGCCTCTCCTCCTTCTCCCAGATGATATCTAAGCCCTCTTTGATAGAGGCGTTGTCCGTATGAATCATATCCAGGGTTGGCGGCTGAGTTTTCTGTTGAGGTGGGGGAAGGGGCGTTCCAGGGATCACTTCCTTCGCTTTCCCCTTCGCTTTCTTCTTCGGTAATGGGAGAGAGAACACGCTGGTCCATCCCTTGTTCGTAGACTCCTCGCTCTTCTTCTTCTTCAACGACTGGGCCTCTTTGTGCGGGCCATCCTTCCACCTCGGTGTTGGACTCGTTGGACTCGTCTGAGTCGGAGTCTTCTGTGATCCACTCATCGCTGTTGACGAAGATGAAGTGGATGAAAGGTGCAGGTCGATCGTCGACGTAGTCGGGAGGGGGTGTGTGCGGTCGTCCAACCTCCGGGTTGGAGGCTTCGACGGGGAGAGTTTCTTCGGAGACTGGCTCCTGGTTTCGTCGGTGCTCGTATCCATATAGGAATGCGAGGTAGGCTATGGCAATAAAGCCTTGGAGTCCAAAGAGGTCGGTGAGGTACTGTTCGATAGGGTTCATTCGTTACTGTTTGTCAACGTGGTTGTTGATGAAGAGTAGGAAAGTCTCAAACTAATTGTTAGCGACCGATTTCACAAACAAGATCAAACAACTCAGCGTGACTCGCACTTCAGTCAGGCGCTGTATGTTGTCCGCAGGTTTGCGTTAAGGAGGCTATCGCTTAGTTGAGCGAGAGGGAGTTCAGACTAAGTTATCGGGTGAAGAAACTTTAGTTCGAGACTGAGGTTTAAGACCTGCAGTCGGGCTACTTAAATACAGTTTGGGTCGTGCTAAATATACTACAAGTGTCTGCAACGGTGCGTTAAACACACAAGACCCACATGGTGAATGCGATCAGGTCCGGAGAACTAGCATAGCAGGATTACGATGGAGACGATAAGATAAGATAAAGCATGAGATCGTAATAGTCCGTCTCCTTGTGACATCGAGAATCTTCGACAAGATAAGACTGCTGTTTGAGAAAGATACAAAGTTGGATATTCGAGCCGCTGATGAGGATATCGACATGTTTGTTACGAAAAGGCTCTCCCGAGGTGACCTTGCCAATCTCATTGGCAAAGACGATGCTCTGCGCAAAGAGATATGCACTGGAGTCACGACAAAGGCTGATGGCATGTACGTTACCCATGTAGTCGCATCTTTACACCCACTGACCAAGTATGCAGGTTCCTTCTGGCAAAGCTACATGTGGATCTACTGGCCCAGACTATAAGTCGCGGTAGGCTCCGAGAAGAACTGGGTAAACTGCCAAAAACAATAAATGGCATGTTTGATAAGGCACTTACTGAGAGAGTGAATAAGCAGGGAGATGATAAGAAAAATCTTGCGCATGCGATTAGGGATGTGCACCGTATCCGTAGTATGGTGGTTACGTACGGTGTATACGGATACGGGTCCGTATCGTGGATGACTTTAACGACCCAAAATACAGCCGTATTCATACGGTTTGAATACGGTCATTGAGGAAGGGACAGAGAACTATCTTATTCCATAAAGGTCAGTACCTATGACCTAAAAGAAGCATATAGTACTCACACTTTGGCACCAGATATCCATCGTCGTCGTCAAAGTGTCCGTATACGGACAACGGTACGGACACGGTACGGATATGACATCAACCGTACCGTACTGTGGCCAATAATTTTTATACGGTCTACGGTCGTATTGCTACGGTCGTATCCGTAACGGTACGGTGCACATCCCTACATGCGATATTTGGCTGGGTAGCCTTTGCCAGGCGCCCTTTGACTGTGTTGGAGCTGTGGCATGCATTGGCTTTGCAATGGGGTACAGAACCCTTTGAGCCCGACAACCTCTGTGACATTAACATTTTGGGAAATGTCTGTGCTGGACTTGTTGTCATGGACGGGACATACAGAAGCTCAGGTCCTTTTCAAAAGTCAGCGCCTACAATGAGATTCGTGCATAAGTGTTAAGAATCTAATCCTTCCCGCATAGGCTGAAGATGAATTTGCTAGATTATACAGTGCAGGAGTATTTTATATCTCAACAAGACAGACTTTTCCCTGACATCCAAAAGCAAATTACACTCACCTGCCTGATGTATATGCGTAACCCTGCCCTTCACATATTCCAACCACTCCCACCGAAACCCAATTCCAGGGCCAATTCCGGGGCCAATTGCATACATTGTCATAGGTTCCGTGGCATTCATGACCAAAAATTAATTGAAGAGTATCCGTTCCTCGCCTACTCACCTGTTTTCTGGGTATATCACGCTCACGGAGCAGTGGAACGTTTGTTGGAAGATGAAATCATTGCATTCCTCAGTGTAGCACGTCATAGACAAGTTGCAAACACTTTCCGAAAGGCAACATCGAATCCCGGCCCAGACTACACGGCACTTCACTCTGCAGTGCATTATGGTTTGGTGCACATCATGAAGGTTCTTCTGGACCGAAGAAGGCCCGATCCTCATGAACCTGAGGCAGTGAAACTGCTCCTGTCACGAGGCGATGTCGACTTCAATCAGGCTGACCCGGAGACAGGACGTACACCACTCATGGAGGCAGCACGTGAAGGTCATGAAGAGATGGTCAAGGCGATCTTGGACTTCAGAGAGTCAGCATTATTCCGTACCATTTATGATGCTCATCAAGGAGTATTTGGGACCTTGCCTGCGACAACTGGTATCAATGCTGCTTTGAATAACAAAGGAGCCGATTCCCCACTTCCCATTGCTATGCATTATACCCGGTCTGACACACCCTTGGGACGAGTTGATCCAGATGCCCAGTCACCTTTGACGCAATGGACACCCTTATTTTATGCCGCAGAATCTGGGCACCCAAATATCATTGAGATGCTATTACAGACAGGTCAGGTTGATGTGAATAGGAGGGACCACGAGGGACATACCGCCCTTATGGTTGCGGCTTATTACGGAAGAACATCAGCTGTCAAAGCCTTACTGGCAAGCGCAAGAATTGATATTATGGCAAAAGACGATAGTGGTATGACTGCATACTATCATGCAGGTCGTGGTAGATGGTCAGGGGGGGATCATGAGACGGTAGTAGTACTTCTCGAAGAAAAAGGAGCTGTGGTTAAGGATGGTGATTATCAACCTACCTATCTGACGACTGCCTACCTTCCCAATGGGCAATTATAGCGTAAAGTAGATGTTACGACATCTCAGTACCATTGTTTAAGGGGGGGGGGGGGGGGGCAGTGGCTATTGTTTGTATAAAACATTCATCTCGATATCTTGTTAGCATCATATATTTGGCCCTAGAGTAAGTCTCTGAGCTATCCTGATTTCTTGTCAAGGTCGAGTAATTAGAGGCGGGGCAGGGCACTGGTCAGGGCTATTCAGGCAGTCGTGGTGGACCCAGGTGAGATCAAGCACTCTTTCCGTCTCCCCCACTATGCAACGACTCTTGCATACACCCACAAAACCCCTCTCAAATTCCAGTATTCTTCATTTGCCTAGCAAATTTTTTTGCTCGACTGAAGACACACAAGCAAACAAAAGTTCTTCTCTCAATCAAGATTTCTTGATGCCGAGATTCCTCAATTTGCAGCCCCAACGGTGGTGGCTCCTCAACTTGAACAACGCTGGGGCTTGGTTCGCATAGACGTCACACCAACGTTGAGCGGAGGATGGTATGGGAGGCGGGGGTGGCTGTGGTTGGGAAGAGAGCGACGCGTCGGCGACTGTAGGATGTAGAGGATCAGTCGTGGAGAGCTCAAGGATATCAGTGACTCGGAAGATGGCTGACCGTGCCGAGAGCGGTTGTTGCCCTATATATAAGGGGTGCCGGCTTGCACTCGACCAAAAGAAGTCTACTGCGACTTCTAAATTTCACGGGTGTGGCAAGCAGATTCTAGCATTAGGTCTCCTGCTCGGGGGTATGTCTACCATCCTCTTATTGAGGCTATTTTAATTAGTAAGTCGTAATACAGCAGCCTAGCCACCTTGGTTGAGAAGGTCATCAAGGAACATATATCGCTGTTACATTCCAATGATTCCGAGGAGAAGGCCTTCACAACATCTCCTTGACATGCCGCCATATCCTCGTTTGTTGATATCGGCAGCCCTCGCCAGCATTACAAGAAATCCGTTCACGCTCAAGTCACTTTTCCTCTGCAGTCTAACCGCAATGTTGGGGCTTGATAGCGAATCCTGAGTATCGTGACTACCGGTAAGCGAGCCATCGGTTTGGTTAACAGCTACCTAACTAATATATTCCTCAGGTATAATATTCGGCCCTCGTTGATGGGTATCAGCTTCGTTGTTACTGGTAGGTAAGCTGGTCATTGTTACATTCAAAGTTCAAACTGTTAACTTTTTACTCTCTATCTTAGGCTTTTTTCACGTAGGACAACGCAACCAGATTTTGACTGGAAGAGCAAGGTACGTACATTATCGACTAACCGTTATTGAAAAGGTACTCATCACAGGGGTGCTGGGCTTTTTCTCGTCGGCTAAGCCTTTGGGAGAAACGAGGCTATAAAGTTAAAAGGTTCCGAGGCGTGACCTTGGAATACATCCCTAGGTTTGACAAGGAGTTAATTGTAGGACTACCTAGCTACATCTCGGTTGGGAAAGCAATGCAAAGAAGCATTTGTACGAAGATTTCATAGCCAGATTTGAGAATGTGCTCAACATGGACCGAAAGTCAGGTTGTATCCAACCCTAAAGAAGCCATGTGAATTAGCCAAGTACAGCTATATACTTCCACCATTACTTCCAGCACCTGACGATATAGTTAAATAATATTCAAAGCAATTCGAAGAAGCATTTTGTACGCACAAGATTTCATAGTTGGTTTTAACAACGTGCTCACCGCCATTGAAAGTTACGTTACATCCGGCCCTAAACAAGAAGACATTAGTCGACTACAGTACCTGGCAAATCGCAACACACAAGCGAATGCTCGTCTTCCCTGGTATTCTAATATTATTGAACATGGCCACGCCATGGTACAGCGGTATCCGATCCTCCTCGTAGCCGCCTTCAACCGGCCTCCTGCCAGCCGGGATGAATCCGTAAGACGTGGTTACAAATTCCATGGTATCGGGATCGAACGGGAGTAGATCGTAACGCCCATTATGGGCTACCTCGCGACCTCCCAAGGGGACTGAGCAAGGGTCACGTAGATAGGGCCCGATCTTGCATGGATGGACGGATTTATCGAAGATGGCGGAACCAAAGTACATTGGGGATCCGTCAATATCATAGCATGGGGGTGGTCCAGTAAGATCCTGCGGTGGGAAGGTAGTAGCGGACGAATGCAATGGAATACGGAAGCCAGAACTTGAGGGCTGTTGGATGGGCGCCTGGTGGTCGCTCGATGGCGCGGGCTGCTGATTAATATCGGGCTGAGACATCTGGTCTGGGAAGACAAGGGCACTTTGATGCACCATCTAAGCTAGTCTCTTGTAGACAGACAACAATACAGACCTATTGATTGGAGGGAGGATGGTCCGTATGTAGTAGTAGGAGTCGCACTTGCAACGGTCCTTATCAAAACAATAGGCAATGTTTTCTGTGCCGTTGTTGACAAATAAGTCAACATTGCAGACGGCTCACTACTGATGCTTGTGGGTCCGAAGAACCCATGCCGCTGTGAACATCGTTGGTTTTCCGGACCAAATGCATCTCAAGAACTTGGACAACTTCGAAGGGACATGAGCGCTGAGAAACGAGCTGGACCGAACCCGGCGAGTGAGTTCGAACTCTCTTTGCGTCTCCCATCATCGAGGACTCTGCATCAATTCGGGCACGCGCGCATGAAGTTCCTCTCAACTGTTAATATTCCTGGCATGTTCGCTCAGAGAAAGCTTTCCAGACACGAAGACGTGCGCGCGCTTACAGATGCCGTTTTCCCTCGTCAAGCAATTCCCGGATACTGAGATTCCTTAGTTTGTACCTCCTAGGACAGCGGCTCCCCAGACTGAACGGTGCTCGGACAACACGTCAAGGGATTGGCTGGGAGGAAGGAGGTACAGTCAACATTGTGCTTGGCTACGAGTGGGAAGACTTGGAGAGGGAAGGGAAGGGACGTTTCGATGACTGGAGGGTCGCGACTCCAGGGTATGTTCCGCTGTCGTCGCCTCGTTGGGTTTGCACTGACGCAACTTTATATACAGATCGTAATAGTCATTCGCGGGCGAAGACCGTCAAAACTCAAAACTCAGTAAGTACTCATAACCGCAGCGGCTCCTTCAGCAACGCGAGCACCAGCTCCAAGGAGAGCTTGCTCATTGGCAATGTCGGTGGAGCCCTCAGCACTATTCTCTCGCACCCACATCTACTTGTCTATTGCCTATTGTCCGTTCCATCTTCCTTCTCTGCTTCCTCCCTGGTGTCCAGTTACAACCTTCACCGTACGATACCTAGAACACCCGGGCCAGTGCAGAATATATCGTCGACTACCATGTCACCGAGAACGCGAACTTCCTTCTGGATTCGTTTCTAAGCGGTGGTAGCCGAGATGCACGACTTCGAGACCACCATCACGCTGCATCCCCAGAGCAGGAGTATTTCGACAACCTGCTCTGGTCGCTAATCACTTCATATCGGCATCGTATGGCGCATACAGGCAGGGCATAACGCTGACGTATAGACCCGGGTCTTTTCTTCCTTACTACTCCAGTGTGCGTATCGGGAAGTCGCCATAGAGCTAGAGTGCAACGCCGTCCCTTCGTCAGCGGGACCTTGTCCTCTACATACCTGTGACAAACATACCGGCATTGATCACATCCCCAGTCCGAGGTCGATTTCAATACCGGTGATGAGATGGCGGACTACATCTGTCTTGACCCTTCCTACAAAGTAACTCTCGTTCCTTCTTGATATCACGTCCTAGAGAGGAAGGGACATTATTGTCCTCATCTACTGTATTTGCTGCATTCCGGCAAGGCTTCACCATTTGTAGCTATTGTGGATGTCGCTGAATGGCACCGGTAGCATGAGTCGGCGTTTGCCGTGCCATTGGTCGAGACTTCATTTTACATCCCTCTAACGCACCCACTAAGAACCACCCGACCGGAAGCCACCATTCAATGCGATCGTGTCATCCTCTATACCCGCTGATTCCATCCCGGCAGACCTCAGTAATGTAACGCAAGACGGGCACCACAATCTCCGAGCTTAGCCTGGGCTAAACAAAAGGTCGACTCGTAGACAACACCCCACCGTATCACCCCAGAACTCGGATCCCACCGGTAGTCCCACCGTCCTGCTTTGCACGCCTCAACACGCTTCAACTTGTGGTTCGTGCAGATGACGTGTCACGATGACGATTTGGAGGAGGGAACTAGGGGAGAGGAACAAGATTTGGCATCGTGCTACGACTCCAGTATGTTCACGATCTTCGTTCTGTGGACCTCGTACTGATATCACTTTTCTCTGTAGTTCATACCGGTCAGTATCAAGAAGCACGAGTCCTTCCCTCCACACGTGTATCGCTATCCTCCTTTCACGTATCATAGGTGGTGAGCTCTCACCAGCACTACAAGAACATCGAAATCATCCCCGTCGACTCTTCATTCTTCGCTTCCTCCATTTCCTTAGCCGCCGACTGCTGCCGAGAACTTTTTTTGCTAACGGAAAAATGTTCAGCTCTATACGTGAAATCCAGTGTGCTGAAGAACGACGATTTCAACCGTGTCGAGAACATCGCTTACTTAGTGCGGAATGAACCCCACAGGAAATGCAACCAATGCCATGGCTTACCCCAAATGCTAATGACGCGGCCCCATGTTAGCCCGATCAATTACCTCCCAATTACTTATGACCTTTCGCCAGATAGATCTCTCGACCTCACGATAATCTTTACTCTAGGCTTGGCGCTTTCGGTAGTCCTCATTGGCATCGATACCACCGTCGCTGGTACGTTCTCCGGCTCATCGACGCGTGATAGGACTGGTAGGAGTGATTGGTACATCGATTCATGCGAATGGGGAGGTGACGTGCGCGGTGCGAAGGTAGGCCCTTATTATTATTACGACGCAAGACCGTCTTTTTAACGGGATTTTGTAGCACTTTACCAATGATCTCGCAATGCCAGGTTGAGCACCCAAAGACACGAGGGGCCTCACACACCCGGTGATCTCATGAAGATGGAAATACTTTGCTTTGGCCATAACGTATATGCAACTCTGCACCCCCAATGATGGTGGCCTCTCAACTTCAACGATGCTTGGATGGCCTAGGAGGAAGCGAGACACAGAATTTGGCATTTGCAGGCGGAGAGAGGGACGGGAGGGACGTGTCTATGACTGTGAGACGAGGATGGTTGTAGAGGAGGGATGTCAATGAAGAGGGATGGCGGTAGTCGGCGTCCTGCATGGTTCAGCTGGGAGGACGTCCTTCTTGCCTGTACGACTCTTGGGTATGTCCGCCATTCTCATCTCGCTGCACTCATATTGACTTAACCTGTATTTAGTTGTACAGTTCATCGACAGCTTGCTTATCTTCATCGAGGAAAAGGCCGTTGACCGCGTCGCTATCGTATCCCAACGACTCCAAAGAGAAGCCGTTGGCTGGCGGTATCCTTTGACGCGTCGTCGTTCGTTGATACTTTCATCTGTAGTCCACGATGGTTATAGAAGGTTATCAAAAGCACGAGTTCTTCACACATACTGCTATCCTCTTTTCACGCGTTGTGAGCGAGGAGCACTCACTGATACTCCAAAGAACTTTTTCGTGTTCAAGCCAGTCTGTCGGCACTTCGTCCTTCGCTCCCCCCATTTTCTTGATATCCGCCACCGACTGTTGCCATGAACCGTTTGCTAGCGCGAAAGATGTTCAACTCTGGCGTACTGAAGAACGACGATTTCGAAAACCATCAAGTAGTGGGGGAATGGATTCCACAGGAGTGCGACCATTGTGGCTTCATGTTAGTTCATTACTGGTACCCCCACTTACATACTGACTTTTTGCCAGATTGACTACCCGACCTCATTGTTCCTTTGGCACGTTGGTTATTGCATGCCGGTTAATCCTCTTCTGCACAATTTAGGTTCATGGCACGGGGCATGATGTTCTTGCAATATGAGCTTGAGCTCGACTTTTCCACGATAACGCGTATATATGTGGCCTTGGATAAGTATCAATCAAACCTTTCGTGGACATCAACCCCTGTGCATGCATTATCACAGTCTCATTTCGTGGTGATGCTCTCGTCGCTGAGATATGAGATCACGGGAGCTTGAACTGCTGCTGTCTAATAATTGATAGTGTACTTGATACACGCATTGTCTCCGATGCCTGCCTACGTGGATAAGATAAAATTAAATTATCATTACAGTAGTGTCGCCTTCTCTGAGAGAAGGCCATCGGATGGAAGGGACAATTGTCAATCAGCTCTGAGTGTGAAGTTCCCATCGATCAGGAGCGGGATCAAAATTCCTCTTTCCGTCTTCCGCCACCGTCGAGGATACGTATCGACCCGCGTGTATCCAAAACCCTCAACTCTGCACCCTCAGTGACAGCGGCCTCTCAAGATTTCAACTTCAATGACTCCTGGACTTGATACTCACAGACGACACCTCAACGTGTCAATTTCGAGCAGAGGACGGTCTGGGAGGAAGGCGGGCATAGAATTTGGCGTTTTGTAGGCGGAGAGAGGGACAGGAGGGGCGCGTGTGAGACAAGGGTGACCGTAGAGAAGGGAGGGGGCTGACCATGCTAAGAATGGTGGGAGAACATCCTTGATTGTACGACCCCAATCGGGTATATTCGCCATTCTCATCTCGCCGAAATGTTATTGACACTTAGGTCAGTTCATGATGGTCATCTGGCCCCCAAGGTAACCCGCTCATCTTCATCTAGGAAAATCCCGTCAAGAAACTCAACGTCGCCACCGCATTCCAACGACTCTAAGGAGAAGCCGTTCATTGGCAATCCCCTCTGAAGCGTCGTCGTTTGTTGCCGCCACCAGCACTATGAGAGATATCTTTACGCGTCTCTCCTTCGACTCGATATACTTTCCAAGACGACCTCATCCTCAAATAATGCACCATCTGCCGTTTTCCTCGCCATGCCCTACTTCCCCTCATCGACATCGATCTTCTCCGCAGCGGCCTTGTATATTTCTCGCTTCTCAACATCGTACTCTACTGCCGTTGACGTTTCGACTCGGGACGAGACTGTTATCTTGGTGAAGTCAGAGACTGGTAACAAGCGAGTTGTTTGAAGCCTACTGGCTGTTTTGAGGGTATGTCCGTGCTATTATCCTTCACTTTCATTACTGACATCTTTGAAAGTTTGTTGCTGACTTGTCCAAGTCCCTGTATCTTGCATCAGTACTGCATATGGCTCTTGTCCTTGCCATCCGACGTATTTCGTATGATCGTTCTAGTCCTGACATCCCCTCCCAATCAACACCGCTTCCAATTCAAGGAGTTGTTACTATCGCATTATGTTCATGACATGGGTACCATGACATCTGGGCCTGATAGTGACGGTCTCACTCGTGACCCACGTTATCGTCTCGAGCACGCACTCCTTGCTGCCTGGATTAGCTGGAAGAGTGTGCACTACGATTTCTCTCGAGTAGATCGCGTAGCAGCACTTCTCTGGAAGTCAGTGCTAGCGGGAACATTGATGGACCAGTAGCCATGGTTAGGTGCATTCACATTTTTCTTGCTCTTTGGCTTCGCGGACGAAGCCGAGAAGCACCACTGCGTAGCTTTCAGCTCCGTCATAAGCACTTCTCTTGGCTCTACAATGAGCACGCTTTCGCCGCATGGACCGTTAGTAAACGAACTGAGAAAGATCATCGCGTTCAGTGAAATCACCGAGCACCCTCTTTCCATCAGGCCCTTACTCAACAAATGGCGTCTGCTCAAGGAAGATGGCACAAATTAGCCCAAGGAAAATTCCACAGCTGGAGATATGCGTACTAGGCGATGATCACATTGTATTCGAGGCGAGTTAATATGAGTTCCTCCGAGTCGGTCTCTGACACCCGACATCATGCCTCACGGTTCTGAGGACTAGCGACTACTATGTTGTCGCTGGGTTAGTCAGTCAATGCCTATCCATTTTGTGACGCAGCTCTTGTGAGTTCGATTCTTATCTCCTGATTACTTACTGACCTTTCGCCAGATAGCTCACAGCATTGCCCTTTGCTCGGCCTTTTGGTTCAGGCGTGTTGGCTAATCCTCACGGGAGATCCCAGAATAGGTTCGTCGAACGATCCGCGGTTCCCGTCGGGATGTCAAGCACGCTCGGAAGACTTTTGTCCTCGAGGTCTGCGCCAGAATCCATTCTCTTCCCTCAGATGATTAGGATTTGGTGACACTTTACTGATGTTCTTGAGACTGGTGATACGAAAGTTTTCACGATTTTTGAAGGATGGCCGAACGCGTGAGAAGTCTCGTCCATTGAAGTGATATCACAAGGGTGGGAACCGAAGCCAGCAAGAGCTGTGTGTGATGATTCGAGGCCTGGGTGTAACATCTTGCTGTATGTTGAGCACGTTGCATACCGTACAGCTGTGCTGTGGATTCAAAACAGCTTGACTGCGCTCCCTCTCTTCCTACATTATCGACTATGGCAGATGCTCTGGGGATCGCTTCCTCCATCGTCACCCTTGTCGAAATCTCTCATACTATCGTCGGATATCTCAAGGATGTCAAAGAGGCATCTAAAGAATGTGATAAGCTCTCCAAGGAGCTCTCGAATCTCGCGATTTATCTGGAAACGGTGAATAAGCTCACCCAGACAGCGGACGCAAATGATCCATGGCTTGCGACGGCGCAAAGGCTGTCCAGTCCTTTCATGCAACTTGACATACTACTCAAGAATCTCAAGAAGAAGTTGGAGCCTGCATCAGATGGTATGGGAAAGATGAAGCAGAGATTGTTGTGGAAGTTTACCAAGGAGAGCGTAGAAGATGCTCTGAAGAAGATTGAGAGGATCAAGTCCCTGGTGATTGTCGCCGTACAGCATGATCATGTGTGAGTGATTTTTGTGCTCTAGCCAGTTGCCCAGCGAATCCTAAGTGCGATATTCAGGGCTTTATCTCGCGCGATTAACAAATCCTTGGCGATCGTTGACACAAAGGTCGACGGCATTTCAGATAATACGAAGCGCATCAAGTGCGACGTCAGCCTTGTATGCAGAAACATCGTCAAAGTCAGTGACCAAGTGACACAGATGGATGGGGAGATATCGCATGTCCGAAGGCAGATAGAGAAGAACCAGGATGGTGCGCGTCTTTGCTTTGGTCTCCTCGGACTAGATACTGATAGTTAGACAGATAACAAGCTCATGAGCATAATCACTTGGCTCACTGACTTGAATTTCAAGTCCGTACAAGCCGACAAGCTGAGCCAGCGGGTGGGTGACACTGGGCGCTGGTTTCTTGAGTCCGAACAGTTTCGAAGTTGGGTAGATGGTTCGGTGAGATCATCACGCCTTTGGTGTCCCGGAAATCGTGAGTCTTTTCACCAAATGTCTTCACTGTTTTCTCGATACTGATATATCTCTTCAGCCGGTGTCGGAAAAACCATCCTGTCTTCGATCGTCATCGATTATCTGCAGTCGCTTGACTATGAGGAAAAGACACTCATTCTGAGGATCTTCTGTGATTACCAATCTGCGGCCACACAAACCATAGCCAACCTTTTTTGTAGCCTCTTGAAACAGCTGATTCAGGACCACGGCCTCTCTCCCTCAATCACGTCACTCTACAACGAGCTCCGTCGTAAACAGACGCGCCCTTCCCTGGGCGCCCTTACCAAAATCCTTTCACAAGAGCTGGAATCGTTCCATCGTGTTTACATTGTTCTTGATGCGCTGGATGAATTTATTGACAATAATGGAGGGCGAGAAGAGCTGATCGATATGATCAAGTCGTTAGGCGACAATATACATCTCTGTGTGACATCGAGAGTCATCACCACGATAGGAACATTGTTTGAGGAAGATACTAGGTTGGATATTCGAGCTTCCGATGATGATATCAAGGCGTATATCACAACCAAGCTCTCTTGTGGCCGTCTTGCCCGCCTAATCAAGGGAAGAGACGATTTGCGTCAGGAGATACTTGATGGAATAACAGAGAAGGCTGATGGCATGTGCGTTGCTCATGCAGTTGCACTTATCGCATGACTGACTCTCTGTAGGTTCCTTCTGGCAGGCCTGCATATGGATTCACTGGCCCAGTCAACGACCCCAAAAATACTTCGAGTCGCACTCGGAAAACTGCCAGACAACATGGCAGGTGCATATGACAAGACGTTGGAGAGAGTTAATAGTCAAGGCGAGCACGATAGGGACCTTGCATATCGTATATTTGGCTGGATAGCTTTTGCTGCGCGCCCTTTGACTGTGTTGGAACTGCGGTACGCATTGGCCGTGGAACTGGGAACAACGGCCCTAGACCCCGACAATCTCTGCAATGATGACCTTTTGGGGAGCGTCTGCGCCGGACTTGTCATCATGGACCAGCCAAATTGGATATTCCGTTACTATGATATCAGCATAGTGAGGTTTGTGCGTAAGTGTAAATGATCCAATCTTTCTTACATAGGCTGATGATGAAATTTTGCTAGATTATACGACCCAAGAGTATTTTATGTCTCGGCAAGATGATTTATTTCCTGGCTTTGGGGGCAGCATCACACGCACCTGCCTTACCTATATGACATTCAACGACATCGACATTCCCCGGCCCTGCATCCCAGAAAAGACGTATACTGTGTCCTTTTTTGGTTCTCCCCTTGCTCTCCTTCTTCGAGACATTGAAAAACATATGTTCCTTAACTATTCATACAGTTACTGGGGATACCATGCCAGCGGACTAGTACAATATTCGATAGAACGTGAAATCATTGCATTCCTCGACGTAGCACACCACAGACAAGTTGCAGACATGCTTAGAACAAGACACATGCACTGGCCCCCTTCCCCTGTGGTGCCACCCTCTCCACTTCAATCCGCTGTGCATCAGGGATTGGTGCACATCACAGAGGTTCTTCTGAATCAGGGAGCTGACCCTCGTGAAGAGCTACCGTTGGTAGTGGCTGCAGAAGTAGGACATCTTGAGATTGTGAAGCTACTCCTGTCGCGAGACGATGTCGATGTCAACCAGGCCGATCCAAAGAATTTTCATACGCCCCTCATGGAAGCAGCGCGTAACGGTCATGAAGAGGTCATTAAGGCAATCTTGGCCTCAAAACACATGAACTCGTTGAATTCAGTAGACAAAGATGGTAACTCTGCACTATTCCATGCCATTTATAAACACCGAAGCAAAGTGGTCAGAATCTTGCTTGCGACTCCGGGTATCAATGCTACTTCGTGCAATCACATTGGTTTTTCTCCACTCGCTGCAGCTGTGTATGGCCGGCTTAAGGATGACGTGGATCCGAACGGCCGGTCGCCTGAGACTCAATGGACGCCCTTGTCCTATGCTGCAGAATCAGGGTATGCGCATATTGCAACAATGTTATTGCAGACAGGTCGGGTGGATGTGAATAGCAGGGACTGCAAAGAACGTACAGCCCTTATGACCGCGGCCGTTCGGGGAAACGTAGATGCTGTCAAAGTCTTACTGGGACACCCGGGAATTGCTATCATGGCAAAAGACAAGAACGGTAAAACTGCTTATAGTCATGCATATTTGCAGCGTCTCCGACGACTAGACGATTTCGGGATTGATGGTGTGATAGCACTTCTTGAGGAATATGGAGGCGGGTCGCACGCAAATGATTATCTACCTACCCGATGAGCAGCTATTGAAAATGGTCTTACAAAATGTCTCTGTAACGCTATTGCCAATGACCGAGCTGCAGAACCAGTGTTCCCATTCTACCGTGCAAGTGCTATATGCGAAACTACAAGCAGGTAAAATATAGATATATACATCATTGTCAACCAAGAGTACGTTAAACAGAACTTGTAAAAGAAAATACGGTTCATCTGTCATGCACTGTGCTAATTGCGTGCTAGAAGTCGAGACCTAGTAGAAACGAAATATTTACTGAACCTTATACTTGCCACCCCCATACCATACGTAATTCCCTTAGCCACGGTGGCGGGAAGCAGTCTCTGAATAGACAGCATCATCATCTCTCTCCAGTCCAGATACCTCGTCGATCTGAACACGCTCAAATCGATCATGGACGAATGGATAGTAGGATGTGCAGCAATAACAGTGTCCAAGCGCATCCATACACCTTCGCCAATCATGACGTGTCCATCTGTCAAGCGGTTTGAGAGAAGGGAGGTAGTTAGCATAATCTCTTGTAGTTTGGGTGCATGGCGGAAGATATTAAAAGCTAACCAATCCAGCAACGACCGACCGGGGCTTTCGTAATAAATCCTGATGGAGCGGAGACGGGGCAAGGAAGGGAGGGAGGAATTCGACTGGTGGGTAGGGTAATGCCTTCTTAGATTGAGTGCTTGAGAAATAACGCGGTTTGAGCAATCAGACGAATGGTGGTAGCAGATAACATTAGCACGCACTGAAAATATTCAGCTCCAATCTCTCGATCGATTTTGCGACGGGCGTCATGATGGCTGCTACACAGGAACGGAAGTTTTGCGGTGCAACTGCTAGGATGAGATTGCGGAGGCAGCACAGATCGAAAGGAAACCGATACTGAGAGTTTGCCATCACGGCTTGCAGTATATTCCAGTTGAAGGAGGCACTGATATCAAGGTCTCAACACACGAACCGGAAACATAGAGATTATGTTTCAGCTCCATATTCTCCTGCTTCTCGGAATCTCTGATACTAATGTTTTTGCTGAGCTTTAGCGTCTGAAGCCGGGGGTGGTAATTCAGCAATGCACATAGATCGTCTATGTGGCAGAACTCGACCTCCCCAATATCCATTGACGTCAGCGATGGTGGCAACGAGGAACAAGGAAGCCTATAGAGAATGCCATAATCGAAGAGGTGGATACTACGCAAGTTCACCATGCCTGAAAGAATCGAGCATGGACCCCATACTTCCTGTTCCATTCCAGTCGAGGAATAGTCTCTCTGAGCGAGATGGAGAGACCGGACAAACGATGGAATGTGCAGGGAAGTTTCGCAGATAATGAGAAACCATGTATAATGTCAGATGTTGAGAAACGCGGTGGAACAAATGGGACTGCGATCGAAGGCGAAATGCTCGCGCGACAAGTGCGCAGGATTTCAAGGACTTGGTGGGATTTACCGCGAGTAATAGTGATGTCTCGTGCTGGCTGACGAGGTCGATGATATCTTCGATGAGCTCTTGAGGTAACTCGACCATGATGGTTTGTTGGAGGTGACTACGGCCTGTTTCAGGCGACGAACACAGGTTTTAGCACTGCTAATTCGGCACGGACACCTTCTGAGCGTTCTGCATCGTTGTTCTCACGATTGCTCAATATCTGGTCCTCGAGGTCCCGGGAACGTTTCGTAGATGCCGAGAGCTTTCCAGACAGTCGTGAGTCTTCGTGCCCGTTTCGTATCCGGTTCCGTCAACGACGTGTCGTCCGTATGTATCCTTGGTTACGCACGCTCAAGTGGATGTATCCTTATTTGGAGCATATCCTACGGACGATCAGGCTAACGCAATAAGGAGAGAGAAAGCGGTATACGGACATCAACTATGCACGTTACGCGCTGGTCTGAAAGAAATACTAGCTCCTGATCATGGCGGATTTTGCTGTTTGCTGTCCTTGGAGATGGTGAGGTAGTGGCCAATGATGGTGGTCAAAGTAGACGCTGCCGAGGTTGAAGGTTTCAAATTTGAAATTTCAGGTCTGCAAGACAAGATAATAGATAAGAATCTACGTAGCCTTGTCATACAATTCTGGACGTACAAGGAGAGCGAGGCGAGAACAGTCTCCTATCACATCTGTCTCTCAATCTTGCGCTGCCATTTCCACTCTGCTGTCACCCAGGACGAGCCATCGAGGAAATCATTCTAAGGCGGTGGAGACATGATGCTTGACAGGTGCTACGTAAAAGTTGCACCGGCGCTCATTGTCTGCTTGTGCTGATTTCTTGAAGGTAGTGAGCACAACAGGCAGACGTAATGAAGAAAGGAAAAGAGGAAAGGGACACGACGAGCAAGTGTGGAACCAAAATGTGTTCCGTCTAGCACAGCCACCCAAGTCCGTCTAGAGATCACCATGGACCCGGCCGTTCCTTATTGGGATCTGGTGCCGGTAACACCACCACCATCAACGAAGACGAACGTTATTCTTCCATCTCTATACTACCACGTGCTTTCGATGCATTTCACTCCCGGCGCATCTGCTAAGACATACAGACCGAAAGCCCTCCTCCCAAGATCCATGTCATTTTCGATACTCACTGATTCCACCCCAACAACTCACACCACAATCTCCGAGCTCAGCCCGTGCTGAACGGGAGGCCGACTCGTAGGCGCATTCCATCACATCACCTCCAGAACTCGGATCCCACTGGCCGCCCCACGGTCCTGCTTTGCTTTCCCAACAGTGGCGACACTTCAAAAGTTGAACAACTTTCGCAGTCTGATTCGCACAGACGTGTCACTGTGACACCCGAGGAGGAGGGGACTGGGAGAGGTGGAGATGGGAAGTAGGAACGGGATTCGGCATTGTACTACGATTCCTGGGTATGTTCATTATTCGCATCGCACTGAAATATCATTGACATGACTGGCATCTAGTTATACAGTGCCCCAGGTAGTCTGCTCATCTTCATCGAGGAGAAGCTCGACATCACATTTCTAACAAGTCCAAGGAGAAGCTGTTGGCTGGCGGTCTCCTTTGGCATGTCCTCGTTTGTTGATGGGGGCCCGTTCCCGTCGCCGGCAGCACTACGAGAGATATCTTTACGTGTCTCTTCTTCGTTCCTCACCGGCACCTCCCTTCCCTTGATCCACACCACCCAAACTTTCGAAGATGACCTCGCTATCAAAGAACACTATCCATCATTCTCGCAGTCCAATTTTTCCAAATACGAGACGTAGCTTTTCAGCCCGGTAGGCACGACTCATACGATGATATGGGCAGCGACACAAGGGCTATTTCATTTCCCCGAATGAGATACCCACCAGCTGCTCGCCAAGCTTTGTCCACTCTCAGGATACTCGTCTGGCGCTAGGCAGTTGTCGCAACAATTTCCGGATACTTCGTTTGCTCCAGGATCCTACCCGTTGCCGATATTCAGCATACGACCATTTAACCCAACGCAGCAACCATGACATCGACCACATTAAGATAAGCTCGGTATCTTAATCAACAACTAGTACGTATCTGCCTCGCTTATATCGACTGAAAGCTGATTCTTGTTCCTTTACTAGCGGCTCGTCGAACTCTTCCCCTCCAGCTCGACTCCCTCCTAGTCAATCACTGGTCATGGGAGCAGGACCTCCGACTCAATTGACATAGTGATTTGAGAAGTCGCCAGCCAGGTTACCTAGCACATCGATGGCTAGATGGTTCGCCGATTCGCTTTAGTCGGTGTGGAGCTTTCAGCTTGTATGAGACTCGGACGACGGACCAACACGATAGTTTGTGCAGAGGGAGATGTCTGGGAGGAAGGGAGGCGCAGGATTCAGCATCGTGTAGGTGGAGGATTGGCCATGGGTGGGAAGAGAGGGAGGGACGTGTCCGTGACTGTTCGTTGTCCTGAGGCGTGTTGCAGTGAAGTTGAGCTCCAATGGTGCCTCATTGTCGAGGTTGCTTTGCGCATTATCGTGCTCTGTCGAAGCTCTCCAAATCTTGGGTAAGTCTACCATCCTTACCCCCGCGGAACCCGTACTGATACTACTTTCATGTGCAGTTCAACGGTCAAAGAAGCTTGAGTCCTTCACCAAACCATCGCTCTATCCTTCTTTCACTCAACCTCTGCCCTTCGTGCCCAAGTCAACCTGTCGTCTCCTCCTCGTCTAGTTCTTGGAGCACATCAGGAACTTTTCGTCTGGCGAGGAAACGGTCGGACTAGCTAGTCCAGGTTCAGAGCCCCGCTGAGACGAAGCGAATCCTGTCTCTTTTCACATATGAGCCAACACGGACTTTCCGTGCTCCACGTCGGATTCAAAGTGAACGACCTTTTCAAAAGGGAATATCAAGATATCTATATACCACAACGGAGATCGATGTTCGTTCACTCCTTCACCTCGTAGTTGCCTACTACTCACTCTCCATCAGATCTACCTCATGCTAGATACCATCAACTTTGGTGCCTTCATTGGGTTGCGCTCGTAGTGTACCAGCTGGCCGTTGAACCCATTGTAGAAGACTCCTGTATCGATGTCGTATCATATTCGGTACCGCCGGGCTTTCTGCACCTGATTTCAGAGGTAGACCAGGTTGTGTGAAGCAGTCTGCGAAGGTTATCGAGTCCGTACATACGGGAGATACAGGCGTGTCCGAAAAGGTCGGACTAGTACGATTACTGGGATGACGTTGATGTTTTCTCTCTGGATGCGATACATCGACGTTGTACCATTTTTTTCGCCATCTTGAATATAGCTTTGGAGGACGAACGCTAATCGATAATTCTCAAGAACGTAACGCGAGTGATCTGTTTGCTGTGCGTCACGGAGGCCCCATCACGGGCATCACAGAGGATCGCAGCACGATATCATTGGCTGTATGGCTGTGACTTTGATTCTGATCACGAGGTGAATCGCCTTATGCGTTCGTACAACCTTGCTCCTCACCATCATGGCAACGACCCTAGGAATTGTTTCGTCTATTACCGCCCTCATCGAAAACACCGCTACTTTCATCAAATATCTTCAGGATGTAAAGAACGCTCCTAAAGAATGCGAAGAGCTCTTGAAGGAGCTGCAATATCTGGAGAGCTGTCTGTCCAACATAGCAAGGGAGACTCGGGGGGCGACTGCAAACGACCCGTGGTTGGTGACGTTAGGGCAGTTGAACAATCTTTTCGATGAGCTTACTACGTTAGTTGTTGGACTCAGGGAGAGACTGAAGGCTGGATCATCTTGGCAGAGAAGGCTTTTGCGAAGGTTGAAGTGGACAATTACTAAAGCGAGTGTGGAGGAGGCTTTAGGCAAGATCGAACGTTTCAAGACTTTGATCATAGTTGCCGGACAGCACGACAATAAGTAAGTGTTTCTCATGCTTCCTCGTTGGAGACTACTAAGCTTTGTGTACAGCAAGTTACTTCATGAGATTCAGAAGACGCTGGGTGATCTTGAGGGCAAGGTTGAGGAAATCGCAGAGAACACCAATGTCACCAGGCAGATACAGATGGGTGCGTTCATAGTTAAGGTTTGTCTTTACTGAATGTTGATGTGCGTGTATCTTGCAGACGAAAAAGCCAAGACATTAGCAGCATGGCTGTCCTCTTTGGATTACAATGCTGTACAACGTAACACACTGAGAAAACGTGTCGGCGATACTGGACAGTGGTTCCTTGACTCGTCAAAGTTTCGGAGTTGGGTGGATGGTTCTGGGACGTCTCGCACCTTGTGGTGTCCTGGTGATCGTAAGTCTGGTGCCATACTTCGTGCATTCTGGTTGAAGTTCATGTATTTCACAGCTGGTGCCGGAAAGACAGTACTCGCCTCCCTCATCGTGGATTATCTACGCCCGCTAGTCGCTCAGAAAAACATGGCTGTTCTATGCGTCTTTTGCGACTATCGAAATGCAGGAGCGCAGACTGTGACCAGCATTATTCGCAGCCTCCTAAAACAACTGATACCAATTGATGCCGGACTTTATTCCTCGATCGAATCCCTGTACGAGAAGTGTCACAACGATCAAATAGACCCCTCCCTTGATGATCTTGAGGCACATCTTTCTACTCAGCTGAAAAAATACTCCCCTGTTTACCTTGTCTTGGACGCTTTGGATGAGTTTCCTGGTGATTACGGGGAATGGAGGAACTTGATCGCTGCTTTGGAGTCATTAGGGGACAATGTTCGTCTTTTGGTGACTTCGAGGAACTACAGTACGATACGGAAGCTGTTCGAGGGAGACGATGAGTTGTGCATTCGAGCAGAGGATGGTGATATTCGGAAATTCATAACAAGCCAGCTTGATGTGGCGGGACGCTTTAACCTGTACCTCAAGGATCGTGATGACTTGCGCGAGAAGATACTCACTGGGGTTGTGGAAAAGGCAAAGGGCATGTAGGGCTCCATCCTGTTTCTCTTCTTTCAGTCGCTAATGGAGTTTTCATAGGTTCCTACTAGCGAGTCTACATGTGACTTTGCTCGCCCAAAGCACAAATCGAGCAGACCTTGTCGAGGAGCTGGATAAGCTGCCGGACACCATCACAAACGCACATGCGTATCTGCTGGACAGGGTTAACAAGAAAGTCAAGCATGAGAAGAAGCTTGCATATCACATATTTGGTTGGATAGCTTTTGCCCGGCGTCGTTTGAAGGGTGTGGAATTGCAGTATGCATTAGCTGTGAAACCAGGAATGAAAGAGCTCAATGCCGATAGCATTCCTGACTACGATGTCATCACAAGTGTCTGTGCTGGACTTGTCATTGTGGACAGCAAAGGGTCTCCTACGTTTGTGTGTAAGTAGTGCTTAGATCTCGATTTCCCTCACTTCATCAGCTGAATACTTTATTAGATTACACTACTCAAGAATATTTTACTTCACACCAAGATGAACTTTTCCCCTGTATCCATGAAGATATGATGCGCACCTGTCTGACATACATGTCATTTGACATTTTTGAATCTCCCGATGTCCTCAACGACAACATATGTCCAGAACCGGCATTCACCGGGCTGCCATATAATCCCACCTACATACCTGCTCGCCTGGATTTCCTCAGGATCGAGGACAAGTATCCTTTCCTTGGGTATTCATTGAACAACTGGAGCTACCACGCGAGGAAATATGGTTCACGCTCTGTGAAAAACGAGATCCTTGCTTTCCTGCAGACTCGGACAGAAGTTGCTCTGTATTTTGAACGACTAGTATCTGGGATGCTACCCACTCCTGCATGGTTTGCTGCCAATCATGGTTTAGTGCATGTCATGGAGGCTCTTGTTAAACGAGGGGTTGACCTGCAGCATGAAAATGCATTGTGTATCGCAGCACATGCAGGGCAGCTCGACATGGTGACATATTTGCTGTCGCGAGATGATGTGGATGTGAATCAGATGAACAAGGCCATGTACCTTCATGATTGGGACAGGTCCCTTGATGACCCCGCCAATGGAGTCGGAGTTGGGGGCTGTTGTCCTACTCTCTGCACACCTCTCATTGCTGCAGCATCCAATGGTCACGAAGAAATTGTCAAAGCACTTCTCAAGTCCAAAAACATGAAGTCATTGAACATGCAGTCTTCCTCCGGACATACAGCACTATCAGAAGCTGTGTCGGGTGGCCACATCAGAGTGGTTAAGCTCTTATTATTACAATCTGGTATCAACACCTCTGTCCAGTTCCAAGGCATGACTCTCCTTATGCTTGCTGCAAGGTATGCCCGACGCGATATTGTGGCATTACTCTTGGAGTGGGGAATTGATCCCGATATTCCAGGGGATAGTGGAAGGACACCTTTGCATGTGGCTGCCAGATGCGGTCGGCCTTATATCTTTAGGATGCTCTTGGAGTCATGCCGGGTGGACATAAATCGGACCGATGACTATGGAAGGACCGCTCTTTCCGTTGCTGCTTATTGGGGTAGAATAAACTGCGTCAAAGCACTACTCGATCAGCCAGATCTCGATTTCACAATAAAGGACCACGATGGCAAAAGTGCATATGAGAGGGCAGTTGAAGGGGGACACGACGCGACCATGGTGGCACTTGTGGAAGGAGGGGTTGACCTGCAGCATGAAAATGCATTATGTCTGTCGGCGCATGCAGGGCAGCTCAACATGGTGACATTTTTGCTGTCGCAAGATGATGTGGACGTGAATCAGGTCAACAAGGCCATGTACCTTCATGATTGGGACAAGTCTCTCGATCACCCCATCAATGGAGTCGGAGTTGGGGGATCTCGTCTTACTTCCTGCACACCTCTCATCGCTGCAGCATCCATTGGTCACGAAGAAATCGTCAAAGCACTTCTTAAGTCCAAAAACATGAAATCATTAAACACACAGTCTCCCTCTGGACCCACAGCGCTATCAGAAGCGGTGTCGGGCGGTCACGTCGGAGTGGTTAGGCTCTTGTTATCGCAACCTGGTATCAACACCTCCATCCAATTCCAAGGCAAGACTCTCCTTATGCTTGCTGCAAGGTATGCCCGACGTGACATTGCGGCGTTACTCTTGGAGTCAGGAATTGATCCCGATATTCCAGGGGATAGTGGAAGGACACCTTTGCATGTGGCTGCCAGATGGGCTCGGCCTCATGTCTTTAGAATGCTCTTGGAGTCACGCCGGGTGGATATAAATAGGACCGATGACCACGGAAGGACCGCTCTTTCTGTTGCTGCTTATTGGGGTAGAATAAACTGCGTCAAAGCATTACTCGATCAGCCAGGTCTTGATTTCACAATAAAGGACCACGATGGCAAAAGTGCATATGAGAGAGCAGTTGAAGGGGGACGCGACGCGAACGTGGTGGTACTGCTTGCGGAACATGGAATGAAGGGCTCAGGGACGCAATGAGTGTCGTGCCCTGTATATTCCGCTCTGTTCATATATATATCTACATACATACGCAGTGCAAACTTATCATTCATACAAGCCATGCGACTTGCACCAAACATGACTAATTCCTTTGCCACCAAGTTGTCATGACCCTTCAACTTAAACCGTGCTTGGGTTCTAGTCCGCATCGCCATTCAGATAAACAAACTACAGTGAAAAGAATTGAACTAACATTGAGCCATGTTCAGATAGTTGCATTTACCATTATTGCATCCATCCGTAGTTCTTGCCGCGTTACAAGAGTCATTGCTCTCCAATCCACTAGCATTTGTGTAGAGTCAATTGAAAAACGCTTCGTGAAAGACCTGGTCCATATGAAGCTGCACTTGCAAGCGAGTTCTCCAGAGCGTACATCATGCCAGTGATGTCAGGTGCTGACTGTACAGAACTATCCAGCAATATTCAAAGGAGTCTAGGCGGTTCATGTCAAATCTACGTCGGGAAGAGCTGGTTTAAAGGTCTTGATTAATCCAAAAAGAAAGGAGATTTACGGTGGTGGGATAGCGAAAATTGCATCTTAAGAGTTGATATCACAGCGAAGAGCGGCCCCAAGGAAGGGAGACGCGAGGCCCTTAGGATATACTAAGGCATTCCAGACAGTAGCAGTAGATCTTCGATGGGTTCCGTGCCCATCTCACATTCCAGCTCTGTATCATGCAAACGATCAGCTCTTGGCAATGGGAAGAGAGAAAGCGAAGTACGGTTATCAGTGATGTTAAGCAGAGCAAACGATCGTGGTACATCCATAAGTACAGCGATTCTGTTCCACGACGTGTTTGGCTCAAACTGACGTGAACTGTGCAGCCTGTGCTATAGTCAGTCATCGAACACCTATCTCAACAGGACCATCGATACGTGATATCCAACCTCAACCTCTCAAAATATCCTTTCGGATGATCAAGCCACGATCTTTCAAAGTCATATTCTAGACAACGCAGATACTCTGCTTCGTACCACTGATAATTACCAGCAACAAAAGGCGCAAAAAACACCCACGATTTTGGCAAACGGCGCTCTTTGATGGCCGCCCTCGCAAACAAAACCATGTTCGCATACTCAAACCATGGAGGGAACGCGCCGTCCATGCCCCAGTCGACTAACCAAACATCGCCCCTCTTATCCACAATGATATTGCGCATATTAAGATCCATATAGCATAGGACAAGAGGATGAGAAATGTCGAACATGGGATACAGATGTGGTTTGAAACTCCTGTAGTTCATATGCAGATCTACGAGGAGGGAGTAGCGGAGGTGGTCGAACCAGTCCGCCATGGCACTGTACGATTCGAAAGGTCCAGTCCCGGTTTCGGAGAAATAGTATCCGCTGCAAGCCAAAGCTTTACCAGTGGAATCGAATGGGCCTGGGACGTTCGGTCGGGGAACGGGAATCTGGTGCAGTTCCCGGATGGATTTCCGCAACTTCCATATAGTCCACAAGCGATTCCACCAGCTCATCTGTGGCCATGCCGTTTCCAGCTCATTGCCGTCGATGAAGTCCATCACGAGCCATATCGAGTAACGACCGGACAATGATTCTTTCTTGTGCATGGGAAGAACGCGTCGGACCCTTGGAATGTGGATGGACGTCGAGCGGGAAGCGATGTATGTCATCAAGTATGGTTCGTGAAGATTGCATTTCTTCGCGACGGCGTCTGGGGCGATTTTCCATGCGGTGACGGGCATCCAGCTGATGCCTGGGTTGTGTGTGATCCCCACCGCGTCGTTGCGGCTTACTGCTGCATCGATAAGCGCTTTGACTTGGTTGTCGGTCAATAAATCGATGGATGAGGAGTGCTTGTCCGGTCGGCGGCTAAGAAAAAAATCAGTTGAAGTTGCACGACGAGGAATCGCGAAACAAGTCACATGATGCCATAGATAGCCCCATAATATCCTTTTCGCTGTTTCCTGAAGTGTGGAAGCTCAGAAATCGGGATATTAGGATGAGCCTAAGCGATGAGCAAAACAAGGAACAAAAACGATGGTGGCGGTCATTGGTCAGGTTTGCATCCTACTATGTTATCGAGCAGGAGGACTTCTTCTTCGCACTGCCTGACATAGTGCACAGAACCATACGACGCCAATGGCTTCGAGCTGATTAGCAACTACCGTAACACACGGCCCAAAAACTCACCTCAGAGTACCGTCCATTCATGAGAACCTTGGTCCACTCGTCGGAGACAGCGCCAAACACCGCGCGCGCGGCTTGTTCGTCAGAGAAGCCAATAATAGAGAAGAGATGTAGAGGATATCATTACTAGACGATCCAGGAAACGCCGGGGGTGGAAGATTCGATCTGGATGGAAGTGGTGGACCATGGCTGAGAAACGAGCCGGACCGAATCCGGCCCGTGAGTTCGAACTCTCTTTTCCTCTCCCACACACACCTCCCGAACATCCCTATTTGCGGGCCTCCTCGGCATATTCAGCCTTGGTACAGCTCTACGCGAGATCAGATCAGCTGGACACGACGTACGCACGATTCCGACGCTTCGGAAACGTATCCCCCATGTGCATCAGTGGATGCGATGCACTGGAAACCGTCCACCACGTCTTCGTCTCGTGCCCTGTGTATCGCTCCTTCCGCCAACATGCCACACAAACACTGATTACCGAGACATCCCGTATCCTGGACTCTGCAGAAGTACCCTTGCTCATTTGCAGGTCCTTTCTTCAGGTGGTCCGATGTCTCTTTGAAGATGGCCCCGTTTGGCCCCAATCTCTATCTCGCTTCTACCTTGGCCTAACGCCACCCTTGCCCGCACTTACTGGTTTGCCGGGCACAGCTGGGTGGCGACTATTTTGGGGTGGTCAAAATAGAATCAAAATCCGAGATCCCGATTTTGGGCGAGGCAAAATCGTTCGATATTTCCTTATTAGGGAATTCCCCGGATTTTGACTGGGGCAAAATCCGACATTTTGCACTTTGATTCTATTTTGACTCGCCCAAAATAGTCGCCGCCCAGCTGTGGGGAGCGAAGACAAGTCGTCTGTTGGTACGCATCGCTCACACGTGGCACACGTCATGCATTCGTCTGGCTGGCAGGATTTGGGCGGAATATAAGCGAAGGGTACGTCCGGCTCCATCGAAAAAGAATAATAACGCCGTAGCCATTGATTTACCATCCTTTTTATCTCCTATCTTATCGTCCTGACCGTTTCCCTTCATACGTGTACCTTTACTTACAATGAGCTACCGAGGTAGATTAGTTTGCGCTTATTTACCTGAGCTGTATCAGCAGAGGTGGCCAATAAATCCAGTTTTCCAGTTTTCTCCCATCATCGAGGACTCTGCATCGACTCGGCAGGCGCGCGCATGAAGCCCCTCAAAATTGTTAACATTCCTGGCACGTTTGCTTAGACTAGAGAAAGTTTTCCAGGCATGAAGACACGCGTGCAAGCCGTCTTCCCTCGTCAACAATTGCCTGATGCGGAGATTCCTCACTTTGCGCCTCCTGGAATAGCGGCTTCCCAGCTTGAACGGTACTCGGACGACATGTCAATGCAGCGGATATGGGCTGGGAAGAAGGTTTTAATCGTCATGAGCGACTTCAGGGTACTATGTCCGCCGTCGTCACCTCGTTGGGCTTGCACTGACGTAACTTGCATATGCAGATCGCGATAGTCATTGGCTGAGAGGAAAACTGTTAAGACGCGCGGTCTTCAGCGACGCGAGCACCAACTTCAAGGAAAACTTGTTCATTGGCAATGTTGGTGGAGCCCTCAGTACTATTTGCTCGCACCCAAGTCTATTGCCGCCTCATCTTCCTTCTCCGCTTCCGCCCTGGTCTCTAGTCATCCTTCACCTACGATGCCTAGAACACCGATGCAGAAAATAGCGGCTATCGTGTCACCGAGAACGCGAACTTCCTTCTGGATTCCTTTCTAAGTGGTAGTAGCTGAGACGCACGACTTCGAGACCACGATCACGCTGCATCCCCAGAGCAGGAGTATTTCGACAACCTGCTCTGGTCGCTAATCACTTTAAATCGGCATCGTATGGCGCATACGGGAAGGGCATAACGCTGACGTATAGACCCGGGTCTTTTCTTCCCTACTACAGTGTGCGTATCGGGAAGTCGCATTAGAGCTAGAGTGCAATGCCGTCCCTTCGTCAACGGGACCTTTTCCTCTACATATCAGTGACAAACATACTGACATTGATCACATCCCCAGTCCGAGGTCGATTTCAATACCGGTGATGAGATGGCGGACTACATCTGTCTTGACCCTTCCTACAAAGTAACTCTCGTTCCTTCTTGATATCACGTCCTAGAGAGGAAGGGACATTATTGTCCTCATCTACTGTATTTGCTGCATTCCGGCAAGGCTTCACCATTTGTAGCTATTGTGGATGTCGCTGAATGGCACCGGTAGCATGAGTCGGCGTTTGCCGTGCCATTGGTCGAGACTCCATTTTACATCCCTCTAACGTACCCACTAAGAACCACCCGACCGGAAGCCACCATTCAATGCGATCGTGTCATCCTCTATACCCGCTGATTCCATCCCGGCAGACCTCAGTAATGTAACGCAAGACGGGCACCACAATCTCCGAGCTTAGCCTGGGCTAAACAAAAGGTCGACTCGTAGACAACACCCCACCGTATCACCCCAGAACTCGGATCCCACCGGTAGTCCCACCGTCCTGCTTTGCACGCCTCAACACGCTTCAACTTGTGGTTCGCGCAGATGACCTGTCACGATGACGATTTGGAGGAGTGAACTGGGGGAGAGGAACAAGATTCGGCATCGTGCTACGACTCTAGTATGTTTACGATCTTCATTCTGTGGACCTCGTACTGATATCACTTTTCTCTGTAGTTCATACCGGTCAATATCAAGAAGCATGAGTCCTTCCTTTCACGTATCGTAGGTGGTGATCCCTCACCAGCACCACAAGAACATCGAAATCATCCCGTCGACTCTTCATTCTTCGCTCCCTCCATTTCCTTAGCCGCCGGCTGCTGCCAAGAACTTTTTTTGCTAACGGAAAAATGTTCAGCTCTATATGTGAAATCTAGTGTGCTGAAGAACGACGATTTCAACCGTGTCGAGAACATCACTTAGTGCGGAATGAACCCCACAGGAAATGCAACCATGGCTTACCGCTAATGACCTGGCTCCATGTTAGTCCGATCGATTACCTCTTAGTTACATACTGACCTTTTGCCAGATAGATCTCTCGACCTCACGATAATCTTTTTACTCCCTTGGCGCTTTCGGTAGTCCTCATTGGCATCGATACCATCGGCGCCGGTGCTGTGTACTCCGGCTCATGCACCAATCACTCCTGCTGGTCCCATCACACGTACATCGATTCATGCAAATGGGGAGGTGACGTGCGCGGTGCGAAGGTAGGCCCTTATTAATTACGACCCCAGGCCGTCTTTTTAATGGGATTTTGTAGCACTATCGATGATCTCGCAATGTCAGGTTGAGCACCCAAAGACACGAGGGGCCTCAGAGTCATACACCCGGTGATTTCATGAAGGTGGAAATAAATCTTCTTTGGCAATAACGCATATGTATTCATCGAACCTTCCACAAGTATCAGTTTCTCTGCGTGTATCATTATCACGGTCTGATGCCGTCGTCACTGAGATCGAGAGACTTGAACTGTCGGGGTATTTTAGTGTTCGATAGTAAATTCAATACGCGATTTATCTCCATTACCAGCCTGCGTAGATGTGAGAAATTTAAGTTATCAGTACAATGGTGTCATCTTCTCGGAAAGAGAGCCATGGAAGGGAAGGGACAATCAGCTTGGAGGGCGAAATTCGCACCAATCGGAGTCGGGAGCGGGATCAAAACTTCTCTTTTCGTCTTCCCACCACCATTCGAGGATGCGTATCGATTCGCGTATATACCAAACCTCGATTGACCCACCAGCATTCATTGTCTGCTTCGTAAAGACTTTTCTCGACCAAAGATGCGCGCCCAAGCAAAAGGTCTTCGCTCATCATGTTTTGCTTCGATTTCTTGGCATGACGATTCCTCAATTTTGCACCCCCAACATTGGAGGCTCCTTATTTGAATGATGATCCGACTTGGTTCGTATAGACGACGCGTTAACGTGTCAATTTTGAGCAGAGGATGGCCTCGTAGGAAGCAAGGCACAGAATTTGGCATTTTACAAGTGGAGTGAAGGACGGGAGGGAAAGGGTGGTCGTAGAGAAGGGAGGTCAGTGAAGAGGGACGACCATGCTACGGGTAATCGGCGTCCTGAGGGTCATGTATGGTTCATCTGGGAGACCGTCCTTAGCTGTACGACTCTTTGGTATGTCCGTCATTCTTATCTCGCTGGAATCTTATTATTTAACATTGCATCTAGCTATACACGATGGTGATCTGGTGTCCGAGGCAGCCTGCTTATCTTCATCAAGAGAAAGGCCGTCGCGTTCACTGACGGTTTGTTTTTGACGTACTCTCGTCTATTGATGTGGGCCGGGGTCCATCACCAGCACTGTGAGAGATATCTTTGCGCGCCTGCCCTCCGCTCCTTCGACCTACATCGCAGAAACGTTTGAAGACGACCTCTACGCATTCCCCATACATGACACACCCCTTCTTAATCCCCCAACACCGTTCTTCATATTCGCCTAAGAAACACTTTTCTCAACTCACGCATGCGCACAGAAGCCTCTCCCTCGCTGCGGGCTTGTTCGATTTCTTGGTGCCGAGATTCCTCAATTTCACCCGCGCCTCCTCAATTTGAACGGCGATGGTCTTGGTGCAAGCTTCTCGCAGCAGTTCTACATGTGAACTACCCTTTCTGTTTCTTTCACAACATCGACGCCATAAATCTTAGTCCGAGTATCATGATTCAGAGCCTGGACGACAGTAACATGGGTGAAGCTAAGCGGAGGGAGGAGAACCTGTTTTGGGATGGTTGGTCCTTTTTACCCTCTGTTCAGCTTTCAGGTGTGCTCACTCCCGCTATAGTCCAATTGGCCAACCGAAGCAGTTTGACTCTCACACCCTCAAGCACGTTCTTCACAGAAGGTGAACATGGTAACCTGAGAGTCTCGTATGTCTGCTCCCGTGAGCGTTCACCGAGTACTACTTGGATGTCCTTGAGCATATTCAATTCGACTCGAAGTGGCATACGAACGAAGGGCGCAAATGGGAGGGAAGGATGTTCTTAATGTGAGAATAACAGCTTCATCAGTCTTCCCCCTCATCGATCTTCTCCACAGTACCCTTTCAGCTAAACCATATATCGTCCAGCATCGTACTCTATTACCGTTAACGTCTCGATGAGGAAGAGACTGCTCATCTCAATATGTGAAGTTAGAGGCTCTGGTGACGAGCAAGTCGTCTGAAGCCTGTCGATGGATGGCGGACTGATTCGAGGGTATGTCGATGTTAGCTTCCTTCACCCTTCCTTGTTGACATCTTCAAATCCAAAGCTCATTGCTGACTTATCCAAGTCTCTGTATTTTGTGTCGTATGGCTTTTTTGTGACCAAAGAAGTTCCAATAAAACACGCCGGTGATACTACGGGAAGGCGAGATTTTGTGGCGCTCTAAGAGTAGAATCTCGAGGCATTATACTCCGACTCGGGCACACGCACACACACACAAAGCCTTTCTCAATCGAAAGCATTCCTTACGTGCTCGCCTAGTGAGTCCGACAACACGCTTGCTCAAAGAAGTCTCCTTGGAACAAATTTTTGGGCTACTTCCTCTACGCATGCCATGGCCTTTCAACTTGAACGACGCATGAACGAGAGGTCGGTGTGTCACTTCTGGGCCAGGGAACAGGGGAGGAGGCAGGCACAAAGGGCCGACCGGAGTGTGCATATCATGAATAGTTTCTTGGCTTTGCGACTCTTGGGTATGTCCTCCATACACGGCGCGCGCTGAATTCGTATTGACGTCGCTTTCATCCGTAGCTTGGAATGGTCGATCAGCACAAGCTGCCGATAGAGGTCGTCAAGAAGTACAACCAGCGTGACACGACCAGCGGCTCCGCGGAGAAATTGCTCACTGGCGATCCCAGTAGCATGAATCGCGCCCTCAAGGCCTCGGCCTCAGTCATGGTCTCTTCCGTCTTCCTTGATCTGCGCCGCCGAAATGTACGACTTCATCATCAAATAGCATCATAATCCCCATCACATCATTGTGCACCTCGAACCCGTCCTGCCTTACAAACATCAGGGTTACTTACCCGGTATCTTCACGATGTCGTCGGCGACTACTACAACGTACTAGAGAACGTCAGCAGCTGCAGGGTGGAAGCCACAACCCATTAAACCCCTTCTCTACTTCGTGAATCGTCCTTGAAATCCCCGCCGTTATTATTCTTTTTGTGATGTTTCTCTCCCCTGGATTACCTTTTCGCTCATCATCCTCGTATTTCGGCTGGTCGGAGAGCGCATTGAGTGAATGATGCCATCACTGTAACTGCCGCTTAAGTGTCTGGACCCAGAGGATCGTCTCAGACGTCTGTTGAGAAACCGAGGGAGCCTGGGATGATGATTCATGGGCACGAGAATAGCGAGAAGCGTCTGTAGACGTGTTTCTGGGTGTTTCTGGAGTGGTGAGGAATACGATGTCACTGTTTTACGAAGGAGCGTTGCATTCTGTTCAAAATCGCGTAACGCACGTACATAGTCTAAAGCGAAGATTTATTTGCATGTAGGACAAGTGAAGAGAATAATACGTGTACAAAAGCAAGCGCACAGAATAAACTTGAACGGGATAGCAAACAGGTAGCACACCTAGAACGCGGTCGAGAGAAAACAGTGCCGCAGGAGCCCGATAGCTATTCCCCTAGGATGCAGGAAACGGGGGAGAAACACTCTGGATGGACGTGGTGGATGGTGGCTGGGAAAACCAAAGACCGAACCCGGGTAAAATCGAACTCTTCTTCCGGCTCCTCCATCGTCGAGGACTCCGCACTTATTCTGGCATGCGCCAACCGCCAGGATTCCCGGTATGTTCACCCAACGAAACCTTTCCTCATCCGAAGACGTGGGCGCTTACAGAAGGCCCCCTTCCCTCGTCAACATTTTGCAGATACTCCTTGCTTAATCTATTCAAGGGTAGCGCTCCTCAACTTGAATGGGACTAGGATGAGATGTCAACGCGACGGTTTGGGGCGGAGAGTGATGTGGAGATGGGTTGGGAGGAAGGCCACGGCCCACGGGTGGGAAGACTTGGAGAGGGACGTTTTGGTGACTGGAGCGTCGTGTCGCCATCATCCAACGTGTTATGAGCAACCACTCCAGGGCATGTCCGCTGTCGTCACCTCATTGGGCTTGCACTGACGCGGCTTTCATATGCAGAACTTGATAATCATTGGCCGAGAGGAAGACTGTCAAGACGCATGGCCTTCAGCAACGCGAGCACCGACTCCAAGGAGAGCCTGTTCATTGGCAATGTCGGTGGAGCCCTCAGCACCATTCCCTTGCACCAAAGTCTGCTGTCGCTTCGTCTTCCTTCTCTGCTTCCTCCCTGGTCCAGTTATCCTTCACCTACGATACCTAGAACACCCAGGCCAATGCAGAAAATATCGACTACCGTGTCACCGAAAACGCGAACTTCCTTCTGCATTAGTTTATAAGCAGTGGTAGTTGAGATGCATGGCTTCAAGATCACGATAACGCTTCATCGATCATCCCTGGAGCAGGAGTATCTCGACAACCTGTTCTGTTCGCCAACCACATCAAATCTGCATGACTTGAACGACTTTCGCACGTCTGATGCACGCGTCACCGTGAGTTTTGAGGGAGGAAGTGGAGGCCTAGGAGGAACAGGATTTGGCATCATGCCATGACTTCTACGTGGATAGATCACATAGCAGCGCTTCTCTGGAAGTCAGCCAACGAGAACGCTGATGGACCAGCGGCGATGTTTCGGCGCATTCGTATTCCTCTTACTCTTTAGCTTCGCGGACGAAGCCAAGAAACACCACTGCGTAGCTGTCGGCTCCATCATCAGCACTTCTCCTGGCTTTACGATGAGCACATTTTTGCTGCATGAACTGGGGACTTTTGGGCGAATTTATTCTACCGGAAATCTAGTACTGTTAAGGCTTTAGAGCTTTAGACGGTCCTTTCAAGATCGATCGTATGCGCGCTTGCCGAGTAGAAGAAGCAAGAAGAAAGCAATCAACTTTGAAGACGGGGAGAACGTGAAACATACATGAATGTATGTCCGTCCCTTGTTTTTTCCATATCTTAGGCTAATATTATTCAGACCGACTCAGTAGCTTCATCTGTTACCGACCGCATGAACATCGCTAAAATCCGATAAATCAAATCTAATAATGCCGCTGTCGAATTTGCCCTCGTAGAAACATGCATCATCCAGGAAACCAGATCATATCTTGAATCTTAGGGCGTCGTCCTATCATCTCTGGGCCTCGTTCAGAAGCAACTGGCCTCGTCGCTTATGGAACAAGCGAGGATTAGATATAACGGCTATTCGAGCCTCGGGGCCGCTCGCTCGCTCGCTTTTTCTTACCTCCTCAGCTGCGGGTACGACGGCGGTGGTTGATTTCGACAGACCCAATGAAGTGAGCCAGGCATTTCGTATATCATCGCCTCAGTAATTCCATTGTTTACCTGGGGAAAGTCCCCCCCCTTGGGATGCCCTCAGATACCCCTACTAGGAGCCCATCGAAAACCAGTATGGGCGTATCGTTGTTAACGAAGGTTTAGTGCGGATCGGCACGGAAGCGGCGGTGTTGAAAGAACTGAAGAAGATTATTGCGTCTGGCGAAATCACTCTTTCCATCAGGTCTTTCCTCAAAAATTGGCGTCTTCCCAAGGAAGATGGCATGAACTGGCCCAAGGAAAATCTCACAGCTGGAGATATGGGTACTAGGCGATGATGCGATGATCACATCACATTCGAGGCGAGTTGACATGGGTTTCTCAGTCTCTGACACCCGACATCATGCCTCATGATTTCGAGAACTAACGACTACTACGTCGTCGCTGGGTTGGTCAGTCAATGCCTATTTTTGCGATGCAGCTCATGTTAGTTCGATTCTTATCTCCTGATTACTCGCTGACCTTTCGTCAGATAGCTCACAATATTGCCCTTTCCTTGCCTTTCGGTTCAGGCGTGTTGGCTAATCCTCACGGGGAATCCTAGAAGGGGTTCGTCGAATGTTTCGCTGTTCCCGTCGGGATGCCAAGCACGCTCGGAAGACTTCGTTCTCGAGGTCTGCACCAGAACCCATTCTCTTCCCTCAGATGATTAGGATTTTGTGACACTTTACTGATGTTCTTGAGACTTGCGATACGAACATTTTCACGATTTTTGAAGGATGGCCAAACACGTGAGAAGTCTTGTCTATTGAAGTGATATCACAAAGGTGAGAATCGAAGCCAGCAAGAGCTGTGTGTGATGATTCAAGGCCTGGCTGCAACAGCTTGCTGTATGTCAAGCACGTTGCATACCGCACCACTGTGTTGTGGATTGAAAGCAGCTTGACTGTGCTCCCTCTCTTCCTACGCTATCGACTATGGCAGATGCTCTGGGGATCGCTTCCTCCATCATCACCCTCGTCGAAATCTCTCATACTATTGTCGGATATCTCAAGGATGTCAAAGAGGCACCCAAAGAACGCGACAAGCTCTCCAAGGAGCTCTCGAATCTCGCGATTTATCTGGAAACGGTGAATAAGCTCACCCAGACAGCCGACGCAGATGATCCATGGCTTGTAACAGCGCAAAGGCTGTCCGGTCCTTTTATGCAACTTGACGTACTACTCAAGGATCTCAAGAAGAAGTTGGAGCCTGCATCAGATGGTATGGGAAAGGTGAAGCGGAGATTGCTGTGGAAGTTTACCAAGGAGAGCGTAGAAGATGTTCTGAAGAAGATTGAGAGGATCAAGTCCCTGGTGATTGTCGCCGTACAGCATGATCATGCGTGAGTGGTTTTTGTGCTCTAGCCAGTTGCCCAATGAATCCTAAGTGCGATATTCAGGGCTTTATCTCGCGCGATCAACAAATCCTTGGCGATCGTTGACACGAAGGTTGACGGCATTTCGGATAATACGAAACGTATCGAGCGCGATGTCAGTTTTGTAGGCAGAAACATCATCAGGTTCAGTAACCAAGTGACGCAAATAGATGGCGAGATATCACATGTCCGAAATCAGATAGAGAAGAACCAAGATGGTGCGCACCTTTGGCCTCTGCCTCTACGGACCGGTCACTGATGGTTAAACAGATAAAAGACTTATGCGTGTAATCGCTTGGCTCACTGACTTGAATTTCAAGTCCGTACAAGCCGAGAAGCTGAGTCTGCGGGCGGGGGATACGGGGCGCTGGTTTCTTGAGTCCGAACAGTTCCGAAAGTGGGTAGACGGTTCGGTGAGATCGTCATGCCTTTGGTGTCCCGGAAATCGTGAGTCTTTTCACCAAATGTCTTCACTGTTTTCTCAATCCTGATATATCTCTTCAGCGGGCGTTGGAAAAACCATCCTGTCCTCGATCGTCATCGATTATCTGCAGTCGCTGGACTATGAGGAAAAGACGCTCATCCTGGGTATCTTCTGTGATTACCAATCTGTGGCCACACAAACCATAGCCAACCTTTTTTGTAGCCTCTTGAAACAGCTGGTTCAAGACCACGGCCTCACTTCCTCGATCACATCACTCTACAATGAGTTCTATCGTAAACAAACACGTCCTTCCATTGATATCCTTACCAAAATCCTTTCACAAGAGCTGGAATCGTTCCATCGTGTTTACATCGTTCTTGATGCGCTGGATGAGTTTTCTGACAACAACGGAGGGCGAAAAGAGCTGATTGATATGATCAAGTCGTTAGGCGCCAATATACATCTCTTTGTGACGTCGAGAGACATCACCACGATAGGAACGTTGTTTGAGGAAGATACTAGGTTGGATATTCGAGCTTCCGATGATGATATCAGAGCGTGTATCGCCACCAAGCTCTCTTGTGGCCGTCTTGCTGGCCTAATCAAGGGAAGAGACGATTTGCATCAGGCAATACTTGATGGAGTGACAGAGAAGGCTGCCGGCATGTGCGTTGCTCATGCAGTTGCACTTATCGTATGACCGACACTCCGTAGGTTCCTTCTAGCAGGCCTGCATATCGATTTACTCTCCCAGTCGACAACCTCAAAAATACTTCGAGTCGCACTCAGAAAACTGCCAGACAATATGGCAGGTGCATATGACAAGACATTGGAGAGAGTTAATAGTCAAGGCGAGCATGATAGAGACCTTGCATATCGTATATTTGGCTGGATAGCCTTTGCTGCACGCCCTTTGACTGTGTTGGAACTACGGTACGCATTGGCTGTGGAACTGGGAACAACGACCCTAGACCCCGACAATCTCTGTAATGAAGACGTTTTGGAGAGCATCTGCGCCGGACTTGTTATCATGGACCAGCCAAATTGGATATTCCGTTACTATGATATCAGCATAGTGAGGTTTGTGCGTAAGTGTAAATGATCCCATCTTTCCTACATAGGCTGACGATGAATTTTGTTAGATTATACGACTCAAGAGTATTTTATGTCTCGGCAAGATGATTTATTTCCTGGCTTCGAGAGTATCATCGCACGCACCTGCCTGACCTACATGACGTTCAACGACTTCGACATACCCCGGACCTGCATCCCAAAAAAGACGTATACTACATCCTTTTTTGGTTCTCCACTTGCTCTCCTTCTTCGGAACATTGAAAAACATATGTTCCTTAACTACTCATGCAGTTACTGGGGATACCATGCCAGCGGACTAGTGCAATATTCGATAGAACGTGAAATCATTACATTCCTCGGCGTAGCACGTCACAGAAAAGTTGCAGACACTCTTAGAACAAGACACATACACTGGTCCCCTTCCCCTGTAGTGCCACCCTCTCCACTTCAATTGGCTGTGCATCAGGGATTGCTGCACATCACGGAGGTTCTTCTGGACCGGGGAGCTGACCCTCGTGAAGAGCTACCGTTGATAGCGGCTGCAGAAGTAGGACATCTTAAGATTGTGAAGCTGCTCCTGTCGCGAGACGATGTTGATGTCAACCAGGCCGATCCAAAGACGTTCCATACACCCCTCATGGAAGCAGCGTGTAATGGTCATGAAGAGTGTTGTATTTCGGACTGTATCCTAGTACAATGCTTGTAAGACCTCTAGTCTCTGGGTTACAAACTCGTGAGGAGTTTGCCCATTTACTTCGCATATTTATACTAAACTACACCTATTCTAGTAATTTCTATACAATCATTCTCTTACCAATCTCTTACTCAGCATGCCGGAATGCCGGATTGCCAGAATTATCTCGCATTTTCCAACAAAGAGGTCATGAAGGCAATCTTGGCCTCAAAACACATGAACTCGTTGAATTCAGTAGATAAAGATGGCGATTCTGCACTGTTCCATGCCATTTACAAAAACCGAAGCAAAGTGGTCAGGATTTTGCTTACGACACCGAGTATCAATACTACTTTTCCCAATTCTTTCCGAAGAATGAGGAAACGACAGAGGGTTATTATCGGGGCGTAACTGTCTTGAGCAGTGCCAAACTGTCTGGACAGGGGCTATACTCGGGGCCAGCTGATGTAATATCTGTTGATTGGCGAACCTCACTGCTGTGGTAAGCCGGTATTTTGAGGGGGTCAAATACACTCTTGTATTTTAGTCCGTTTTTTGTTCGCAAATCCAACTAAGGAAATATTGTGCCAAAAACAGTACATATTTTAATCCACATTTGGGAGGCTGTATTTGCATCAGAAATACATGCTGAAATACCATCTGTATTTGGTCCATTGTGTGTTCCTTGATGAACTCCGCTAAAAATTTTCAAAGCTTCGATGTTGGATGGCTATCAAGACGTGCAACTATCACCTGTTTGGTAGAAACCCGATAAGTATGGGCTGTTCATGCATACGAGCGCCGCGTTAAGTACCGGCGATTGGCTGTATTATGGGCATACTTCAAGTCGAAGGAACCACAAGCGAATAACGGGATAGCAAACCAGACTCGGAATCAGAGAATGAGAGCTTTGTAGCCAATCCCTAAGACACGTTGGGGACGGCTTGCGTGTATCATTGCTAGGAGATCAAGAGTGCAAAATGAGAGTGAAAAGAAGATTGGATGGACCTGATGGCTGAGATAGAACCAGGGTTCGGACCGGTCCGAGCCCGGGTGAGATCAAACTCTCTTTCCCAACTCTTTCCGTCCCAGCGATGTCAGGCAGTTGAGTGCGCAAGTCACTGGTCTTGTTCGGGTGGGACATCACACGGTGAGTTTCCTCTACCTAGGTCCTCAGTAGAGTATGCAATAGAACGCATAGATCGATAATAGAGAATGTGATTTAAGATGTACATGTTGTGTCAAGGAATAGCTTTGAGAACAGCTGCCACGAACAACAAGATATTGTTGAGAGTACGAGCCATGACTGCAGGTACAGTCGTACGGACTCTTAATTAGTTACCGATACAGTCAATTTTCGCTTTTCTCACAGCCACACATCTTAGCGACCTACCGCCCGCTAAGATGTGAGTACATTACATTTATTCATTACCTTACCTTACTGACTCGTAGTAGATACATTCTGTTCTGTCCTTACAGGTATTGTACATCCATACTTAGCGACCTACCGCCCGCTAAGATATACATTCTATTCTGTCCTTACAGTCCGATCCTCCCCGTGCTCGTCTTGTCTCACTCGTTCGCCACCGTGTCCTCCCAGTTATCCCCGGTCCACTGCTCAACAGATATGTCATAAATCATTCGTGCGAAACGGGAACCAGATAGAACAGGCTTGTACCATGTTATACAATCGAAGAAAGAGAAGTTCTGAACATAATGTGATCTGGATAGCGAAGTAAAGCAGAATTTGGTGGTAAACAAATTCAGGACGCATCTGCTATTGCATCATAAACAATCAAACTTCACTGACAGAAACCAAAACATACCCACGCAGCAAATGTCGCCATCTTCTCAATGGACATTGCCGACAGTAGCTCCGCCCACCCAGAAGCCACTGTCGTTCACCATCTCCAGGACAGAATCATCGGCAGTTTGATAGTAAAGCCTCAGATTCTTCCCATTGCTCCACTGAGCAGCAGCGAACTGAGTACCAGGCTTGAGACCTCCAACAACTGTGTTTACAGGTCCCCAGGAACCAGTGTTCTTCGTTCCAACAATCTCGTTATCCAAGTTGCGCCAGTACACATGCAGTTCGGCGCCCCCATTACTCGTGCCATAGCCAATGGCGCTGATAGGAACGCATCCTGGAGCTTTCCCAAAGTCCAATTTACCTGTTATGATAGACCAAGAAAACCTGGTTTAGCGAGCAAACCAAAATCTATAATGCCGGCCACTGACCTGGGAACCATTCACCACTTTTGTCGTTTATGCAATGCTCTTTGATGGAAAGGTCATCGGTCTGATAGTAGACACGTAGCTGGAGACCATTCCACGAGTAGACCACCGCCGCGAGACTTGAGCCACTGAGAGCGACTGGAAGGGTCGCCCCCCTGAACCAATAGCCGTTGTTGCAGAATTCCTTGATGGCACCAGAACCCAATTCTGATCTCGGTAGATTAGATTGCAGCGAAACAATGTTCAGCAACCTTCCTTACCTTGACAGTACACGCGAATGTAGACACCTCCCCGGTCGTCGCCATACTGCATAGCTGCGATCGACGTATTGGTAGCTGCTTGGATCTTCATATTACCCAGCTCGCCGGGGAACCATTTTCCTTGATCAGCCGAGTAGCAGTACTCCTGAAGGACGTACTGTTCGTCGAGGTAGTAAACACGAATCTATTGATGCCACCATCAGCGGATTTGCGCACTTTGCATGCCAAATTGATATACACTGACCTCTTTTCCGTCATTGAAGTTGATAGCAGCCAACGGCGTAAACAACACGGCGTTGAAGAGGGGATCCTTGCTGGGCCCGCCACCCCACAATCCGTCCAGATGCTCGCTCTGAAGTATACCACCCGCCGGGCTGTTGGTAGAACACGTGAATGTGCCACACCTTCGGAGTAGTGACAGCGACGGAGCTCCAGGGAATAATATTCTGCAACCCATTGATCGTAATCGGGTAGTTCCACCAGCCGCTAGTCTTGCATTCAAGCGCAGTGGACCAGTACCACCAGTCGGTCTTGAAGTCCCACAGCCTCCGATTCTCGATCACCTTGCGCCTCTCGTCCTTGAAACGTAAAGAGCGTCGCTAGTGTCTGATGGGCATTCGCAGACTCCAGCGTGGGAGCAAAAGTCCATGCCTGGTAATTGGTCGGTGACGGTGCCTGCTTGGTCTGATACGCCTTGTAGATCTCGTCTGCAGAGGCTTGCACCGAATCTACACAGCGTGTCTTGTTGTCCTCGTTGACGGAATCGAGTGCGCGCTTGTCGCCATACAACGTCCATGACTGACCTCCTGGATTCTTGCTTCTATCCCAATCGCGTTGTCCTCGTCATGCATAAACTACAGGTAACATCATCGGAGTCGGTTCGAGGTTTGCAAAAGATGGTCCAACAAACCTTGGCACAGGCATCTGCTGTAATATCCGTACTCCTATGAAGGAGTCGGCGCGGGGTACGAAGGTGACCAGCAGAGAACGAATCCTCCAAGAAATGATCAGCGAACGCATTCATCGCGTACGCACCGTCCAAATCCCCGCTGATCGCCTTCTGAATAGCAGTCGCATGTCCAGCATTGTACGCGGTACGCGCGTCTGCTCCAAGTGGTCCCAGTTGATTTGCGCTAGCCCAAGGTATCCTGGTATGCCCACTCCGACCAAAAGTTATCAGTTCCAACTTCAAGCTCACGTCGGGAAGCTGAGCGTAGACGACAGAGGGATCCTGGTGGTCGCGAGAGCGTTGTTGACTGCATTCGACCTCCGCCTGCCAGTACCGCAAGAATGTCCATTGCTTCCTTCGGCAGACGAGGACCGCCATCAGCAAGGGTGTTGTACGCTCGCACGAAACGCGCAGATCGGTCCTGGTCGTCCTTGCCGTCGCTGATAGGGTCGTAGGTCCCATAAAAGTCCCCAGCAAGGCCATTGATCTGGCCGTAGGTCAGACTGAGCTGGTCTTTAAGCTGGAACTTGTAGTCGGAAGCGGCAACCTTCGTGCCATTCGCGAGGGTGAGAGTGATCGCGTCTCCAATGAAGCAGTGCTCTGCGTATTCAAAGCCTTGGACAGCGTGTCAACGATCATTCGGCCTAATCACTTGATGGAAGAAAGCGCCCACCAAGCTTGCCCTTCTTGGGTGCTTTGTTTCGATCCTTAACTGGGACTACGGTACGACCGAAGACAAGGTCCTTCGAGTCAATGGTCTCGGCAACAGCGCGAGCATCGGGTACAGAGGGGTCTGAAGACATGGTGATCGAGATAAGTGCTTGTTGAGTAGTAGATGCAAGTCTCGCAAGTGTGGAGGACCAGGCTGGTCAGGACGCGCTTTAAAACAGATGTGATTCAGTGGAAGGCAAGTGCCGAAATCAGTGGAGATAGGACAGCGGATATTTATGTATACTTACCTGAGCGATTCCTGTATTCTTGTCCCGTAACCAGAGTCATAAGGTTGGCTGGCAGGCTTGAGTAGTAAGGTATACCCCCTCGTGGTCAAAGTCAAAGTCACAGCTATGCAGACACCCGCCCGTGTGATGTCGTGAATCATTCATGTTAGGTTCTTCAGAATTGTCAGATGGGATACACCTTCGGAGTTGTGTTCAGGCCGGTGAAGTGAGAAAATAGTGCATGTCGATATACAAGCCACTGATCGATGATTGCACAAGTCCCGTGTATGCATGCACCGCTGGAGCCGCTACTGAAGGATGAGACCTAAAATGCCCACACATTTCATTGGAATTTCTGTTGGTAAAAATGAGTTCACAAAAACGAGTTGAAAGATGAGATAATTTCCGTACTCTTTTAGGTGAAGGAAGGGAACCTGGAAGCGGCCTGCTCCACGATCAGAATAAAGGAAACGACTTTTCAGCCAGACAAAAGAAGCTAGTTTCGGTACGCGAAAGCTAGATACCAGGACAAAACTTTCATTGAGTTTTCCACACCCCATTTTCGCCGCATACAAAGGCAACGAAAAGCCAGAATTAGCTTCGCACGTTGGTTGACATAGCCTAGTCTACCGCCGAGATCAGATGCTGGGGGTCGGGCATTTGATTCCTCCTGCATGGGGACGAATCAGCCTGTAAGCGTGAACCACCGCGAGAAGGAACATTCGTTGAAATGAGGAGATGACCAAAACAATTATCAGCAGGCCGGTCATTTACGTGGATGTCGGCGTAGGCAAAAAGCGGAGGCGACAGGCTGAATGGAGTGTGACGAGATTTGATGAAGCGTCTTCGAGAGCTCTAGAATCCCTAGAATCTAGTATATCAAGAAACGGGGACGCGTGACGGGCACAGAGGTCATGTGTTCGTCAACAATCTTCGGCATTATGAACTGCAGGTGAAGGCGGTATCGAGAGTTTAGTGGGATGAGGATCGTACAAAATTTAGTCTTAGAGCAGAGAGGAACGCTTGCGACACGATCGAGGAAGCTGAATGCAACACACCCCTCAGCACCCTCAGCCGTCCTCCCTCTAGAGTCCACGGCGACCCAAAGTCGCAGAAACATCACTCGCATTTCGTGGTTGCTGAATATAGCGCCTCCTTTTGTCCCCCCATCTCTGCATCTTCCTCTGAAACGATCACGTTGACACGTAATCCGAGTCCTGTTGAAGTTGAGAAGTCGTTCCGGAAAATTTGTGTACCGAGAATTTGGGCATAACATTGATGAATGTATTGTGTGTTGTGTCTTCAGGCAAGGAACGTTGGCCAGGAATACCAGCAATTGAGTCGATACAGAGTCCTCGACATTGAATTGAGCGTCGATAGGGCTGGCAAAGGCTCCTTCGCCCGGCCGTAGAGTGAGAGTCCGTTCGATAGGGACTGAACTGATAAAGAGATTGTGTCTTTGAGAACTCTATATCAAGAAACGGTGTTCATTAACAATCTTTGGCAGTATGAACTACAGGTGAAGGCGATATCAATACGAGTGTAGCGGGATGAGGATCATGGACGTACCAAATTTAGTCTTAGGGCAGAGAGAGAAGCTGAACGTAACACACCCCTCAGCACCCTCAACCGTCTTCCCCGCGACGACCCAAAGTCACGGAAACACCTCTCCCTTCTCATGCCTGCGCGTTGCTGAATCCAGCACCTCCTCATCTCCGCATCTCCCTCTGAAACTATCGCATCGACACGTAATCCGAGTCCTGTTGAAGTTGAGAAGCCGTTCCGGTAAATTTGTGCACCGAGAATTTGGGCATAGTGTTGCGTGCCCCCAGGCGAGGAACGTTGGCCAGAAATACCAGCAATTGAGTCGATACAGAGTCCTCGACATTGAATTGAACGTCGATAGGGCTGGCAAAGGTTCCTTTGCCCAGCCGTGGAGTGAGAGTCCGTTCGATTGGGACTGAACCGATATAGATTTCATTTCCGTGTTCTCTCAGTGACGACATGGAACTTGGTGATGTTGATCTTTGAGGGCACTTTACAACAGTGTTCGCAGGTCGTCTAAGCTGAGGAAAACGGACCGGGACTATGTATGACAGGCTGGAATCACTAAGATAACCACACCCGAGTGATAGGTGGATAAGGGTTTCTTGCATATTTCCGTTGTGAAGGTAGCTGCCTATGCTTGGATGGCAAAAGTCCTTCCTCGAAGTTTTCATAGTGTCGGCGAGGATTTCCAACGGACGAAGAAGGATCAAAGGCGACGTCCCTGGTATCGTGCCTTCTGAGAACGGGCAGCCGGCGTTGGATAGCAATTTCTTGCTGTAGATGTTAGTACGAGTTTACATAGTGTGAATGACGATGGCAGACATACCAAAGAGTCGTATAGCCAAACTCTGCCTGTGAATTTTGATAAGTCGTACTCTTCTCGCCAATCCACTATGAGGCCGAGGCCTCAAGACTATCAGCCTCCTTCACTCATCCCGCAGTTATAGACTGGTCCTCTCTCACCTCCCGGGCCATCCTCCGCTCAAAATCGCCACGTTGACTTGTCGCCCACGCGAACCAGAATTTCGAGCGCCGTTGAAGTTGATCTCGACGAGGGAAGAGCCTGAGCTCCTGTTTATACGCATGCCTTTCAGTGGAGCAAAAAAAGTCTTGACGAGAATAACAGGTGAGGAATGTAGGTGATTGAGAGAGGCTTCGTGTGTGCGTAGGGAAGTCAGTTCCAGTCCTCGATGATGATGGGGAGACAAGAAGCAGACTTTTGATCCGGCGGCATTTCGTTCTCTGGCGCTTTCAGAACAGACGATGTGCTGATTGATATCAATTTTCATTTCCGCATCGCGTACCGTCTCTCAATAGGTCCATCATCTATCTATCTACGATCACCACCGTCGGCGGTTTTTCTTTTACTTTAGACTTACGAGTGCTCACTAGCGCTACTCAAACACGTCCAAAGTTCAACGTTACGTTCAACACTAAAGATGGTGGCCTCTCAACTTGAACAACGCCTAGAGTTGGTTCACATGGACGACGCGTCAACATGTCAATTTCGAACAGAGGATGACCTGGGAGGGAGGCAGGCATAGACTTTGTCGTTTTGTAGGTGGAAAGGAGGACGGGAGAAACGCGTCCATCTCTGTGAGACGATTGTAGAGGAGTCAACGCCCTGCATGGCTCAGCTGGGAGAACATGCTTGGTTGTACGACTCCAATTGGGTACGTTCGCCATTCTCATCTCGCCGAAATCTTATTGACATTGCATCTAGTTCAGTTCATGATGGTCATCTGGTAGCCTGTTCATCTTCATTGAGGAAAACGCCGCCGAGAAGCCCAACGTCGCCATCGCATTCCAACGACTCTAAGGAGAAGCTGTTCATTGGCAATCCCCTCTGAAGTGTCGTTGTTTGTTGCCGTCACCAGCACTACGAGAGAGATCTTTACGTTGATTGACGCAACGAAGCATACTTTCCAAGACGATCTCATCCTCAAATAATACCCCGTTTGCCGTTTTCCTCGCTACGCCCTACTTCCCCTCATCGGCATCGATCTTGTCCGCAATATCTCTCTTGCCGCTCAATATCATACTCTACCGCCGTTGACATTTCGACCCGGGAAAGACTGCTCATCTAATGTCAGAGATTGTGGTGACAAGCGAGTTTATGTAAGTATCGCTGGCTCAGTGTATGAGGGATGATCGGACTACGCGTCCAGAGATAAACGATTATGGTATCATACTCCCGTCCGACGCGCCTCGAACTGGTCCAGTGTCCTAAACGCCAGGCCTACCTAGTACCCTCACGACATTCCAACAACGTAGAGAAGGTCAGTAATGACAAATTATATCCCTTCACTGCTAAGTATTTGAACGTGAGTCGTCCAGATTTCCGCCTTTATCTTAATTTTTGCGATGTTTTTTTTTTCCCCAGATCACTTCTGCTGTTATTGGCTCTCTCTATTGAGGAGTACATCGAAGGATGGATAGAGCTACTACTTACGTGTCTGGTTGCGGAGGATCGTCTCAGATGACCATGAGTCAATTATTTCGGAGGAGCCTGAGATGATGTATCCTTACGTTGATGCACAGGCACGGGAGTGGCTAGAAGCACCCGTAGACACGTTTTAGAGGGCCTTACTAGTGCTATGCAGAGACGTATTGTGCGCACCTATTGAAGATCGATATTGTCAGTCATTGCTGTACGAAGGAACTAGATTCTGTATAATCAGAGTCAACTCAATCCATTAGGACATAACATATATAGCCTGAAGGGAATAATTTGAGACCAGACACAGAGAAGAGAGGTGCAGCATGAACGGAAACCGCAAAGAATAAACGACGAGATGACAAACTAGTACTAATGCAAAGGAAACGGGGTGGAAGACTGGATGGATGTGGTTGAGAAACGAGCCGGACCGAACCCGCCGGCAGATGAGTTCGAACTCTCTTTTCGTCTAGCCCATCATCGAGGACTCTACATCGACTCGGACACGTGCGCATGAAGCTCCTCTCAATATTCCTGGCATGTTCACTCAGAAGGAGCTTTCCAGACACGAGAATGCGCGCGCTTACCAAAGCCGTCTTCCCTCGTCAACAATTCCCGGGTGCGAAGATTCCTCAGCTTGTACCTCCTAGAATAGCGGCTCCCCAGCTTGAACGGCGCTCGCGCTCGGACGACATGTCAATGCGGCAGAGATGGGCCGGGAGGAAGGGAGGTGCAATTAACATTGCGCCTGGCTACGGATGGGAAGCTAGAGAGGGAAGGGAGGGTCTTGTTCTCCAAGAGTCGTCATCATCCCACGCGTTATGGGCGACTCAAGGGTATGTCCGCCATCATCATCTCGTTGGGCTTGCACTGATACGACTCTCATATGCAGATCGAGATAGTCATTCGCCGAGAGGAAGATCATCAAGACGCACGATCGGAACGGCTCCTTCAGCGACGCGGCGAGCATCAACTCCAAGGAGAGCCTGTTCATTGGCAATGCCAGTGGAGCCCTCAATACTATTTCCTCGCACCCAAGTCTACTGTCGCCTCATCATCCTTCCTCGCCGGCCTCCTGTTGTTCTTTCCCTGTGATTCAAGCCAATGCAGAAAATATCGACTACCGTAAGACCGAGAACGTGAACATCCTCCTGGATTACAAATGGTAATGACTGGACCGTACGACCTGACCGACATGCCTTCCCAGCTAGAGCAGCAATATCTCGACAATTCAGCTGTGACCTTAAACGAATACCTAGCCCACTACCCTGTCGCTACTAACATCAAATCTGCACATATGGTGGCGCGGAGACCGTTATCTCTCCCCCTTTGATCCAGTTTGCATAATGGCAAACCGTCGCACAGATAGCCATCCCTTGTCCTGTTCGTCGGCTAGAACCTGTTCTCTACACCTCTACGCCAAAAATGGTGGCGTTATTCATGAAGTTGATTTCAATGCCGGCGAACTACGTCCGTCTTGATCCTTCCCAGGAAGTAATGCACTCGTTCCTTCTTGGTATCGCATCTTAGGGAGAGGGGGACGTTATCGTCCTTACCTACTGTATTTGCTGTATTCCGGCAAGGCTTCGCCGTTATGGCTACCGTGGATTTCGCTGAATGACACAGCGATAGAAAGGGAAGGCAGGGGTGTTTTTGTGACCGTGCTCTCCGACAATCGTTGTTGTCCAGCGTGTTATGAGCGACTCCAGGTATGTCCACTGTCGTCATCTCGTTGGGCTTGTACGACGCAATTTTTATCTGCAGTTCGTGGAAGACTGTCAAGAAGCACAACAGGAAGGAGTACTCTAGCATCTCCAGGGAAGGCTCGTTTAACGTTAACGTTCGTTGGCAACGTCAGTGGAGCCTTCAGCACCAGTGCCTCGCAACCAAGTCTACTGTCTCTTCTCCCATCCGATGGTCTCTTGTTCCCCTTCACCCGCGCAGAAAATTCCGGCTATCCTAATACCGAGAACACGAACTTTTTTCTGAATAAATATCTAAACAGTGCTGGCCGGAATTCACCCGTTGACTATGATCATGCTGAAGAGCATCTCGACGACTCAGAAGTTGACTGCTCTGGTCACTATCCACTTCAAATCATTGTATAGCACATACAGGCAGGGTATAAACGTTGATGTACAGATCATCACTTGCTCCTCTCTACTCTAATGTGCGTGTACTAGGATGCATCATCCCTTATTCCGCTCGTCAACCAGGTTTTTTCCCCTTCGATTCTACACCAAAGACGCCATCACTGTGGAGGTCTACAATCCGAAGTCGTTTACAATACCGGCGATGGAATGGTGAACTACGTCTGTCTTGATTCTTCCCAGAAAGTAACTCACTCGTCTCTTCTTGATATCGCGTCAAATGGGATGTTGCTATTCGGAATGCCCTCATCTATAGTACTTGCTGCGTCCCGATACGGCATGGTCGTTGTGGCTATTGCAAACTTTGCTGAATGGCACTGCATGAGTCTACTAGCTCTATACAATGCTATCTTGGGCGCGCCCAGGGCTTGGCGGACCAAGCTACGTAACCTACAAGCCAATAAACACCACTGCATAGCTTTCAGTTCCGTCACCAGCACCTCTCTTGGCTCTGCGATGAGTACGTTTTCGCCGCGCAGACCGGGGACTCTGGGTGAACTTATTCTATTCGCAATCTGGTCCTGTTACGGCTTTTGAGCTTTAGACGGGTCCTTGCAAAGTCGATCATACGAACGCTTATCGAGCGGGAGGAGCAGAGGGAAAGATACATACCCTGAAGATAAGAAGAATGTAAAGTGTATGCCTGTACCTTAGTTCCTTTCATATCTTAGGCTGATATCTATTATTTAGAGTGACGCAGTAGCCTCACCTGTTGCCGACAAACAAACATCGCCATAATCCGATGTATCAAACCTAAAAGCGTCGGATAATACCGCAGTCAAACTTGCCCTCGCAGAAACGCACCTCATTCAGGAAACAAAATCAGATCTCGAATCTCAGGGCGTCATCGTATCATCTCCCGGTTTCATTCAGAGACGACTGTCCTCGTCAAGAATATACCTTGTGTAATAAGCAAGGATCAGATACGACAGCTATTCGAGCCTCATGGGCCACTCGTGCACTTCGTGCTGTTGCATATCGTCACCTTATATATATGACGACGACCGACAGCAATGGCGACCTCGGCTCTGCATTTAACCTCCCGACCACCTGCAATGTATCTTGGATATTCAGAGTACGCCTACGATAGCATTCGTTACTACCAATCTTGTCCCGTCGAATGTTTTTCTGAAACAGCTTTATTAGAGATGACAATTTCATCGGTATACGCGAGGATGGGTTCATGATCTCGAGATCTCGACTGCTTTATTAGGATAGATTTGTCAAAAACTTCTTACGTCTAACCTTAGCTTACACGGCCTGCCAAGACAAACCTTCTGCACTCCATTACAAAGGCTGGTCCGACCGAGCAATTCAATGTCAGCACTATACTTAGGATGGTGCTACCAGACTTGAAACAGCTGTGCCGCGCCCCGATAACGGAATACTCAGACTATTGGAGACTAGTTGCAAACGGTGTTCTCTCCACGCATGTAGCGGTCTCAGGCAGTTCCTCAAGGGTGGGTCTTGTGCGACGAATGGTTTAATATTTTCTCGTTGGAGACAATATATCAACATTGTACCTTCGCCATTCTACACATGCGCTGTTTATGCCAATCGACGACTCTCAAGAAGGTAAATGCGAATGATCTGTTTCCCGTCATTATGAAGATTATGGCACGACCCCACCCACTAGCCGCTGCGGGGCTGTGACTTCGTTTTCGATTACGGCCTGTTTGCACCCAACCTTGTTCTCCTCCACCAACCATGGTAGACCCTGTAGGAGTCGCTACGTCCATTGTCTCCCTCATCCAAACCACCGTTACTGTCATCAAATATGTCGAGGATGTAAAGAATGCGCCTGAAGAACGCATCAAGCTCTTGAGAGAGCTGGAGGATGTGAAGACCTGTCTTTCTTTGGTGGAAATGCATACTCGCTCGTCGACTGACAGCGACCCATGGCTGGCGAGCTTAGAGGGTCTGAGAAACACTTTCGGCGAACTTGCTAACACCCTCGATGGACTCAAGAAGGGGCTGGAGGATGCATCTCCTGAATGGAGAAAGGTGATGCATAGGCTGAAGTGGCCTTTGACTAGAGATGGCGTCGAGGGGGACCTGAGGAAGATCGAGCGTATCAAGACCTTGATTATGATTGCCGGACAGCATGATCATTTGTAAGTGATCTTTATGTCTTATACTCGCTCGTCGGAGGCTAAGTTTAGTATACAGTAAGCTATCTCGCGCAATTCAAGACATGTTAAGCGATGTTAAATGCACGGGCGAGGAAATCCGGAATATCAACAAGCAGAAACAGATGGGTATGATTGTGCTTAAAATCTGCTATTGGACCATATACTGATGCATAGATACACCGCAGAGGATAAAGCCGAGAAGGTAGTAGCATGGCTCACCTCCTTGGATTACAATGCTGTGCAACGCAACACACTGAAAAAACGTGTTGGCGATACTGGACAGTGGTTCGTTGAGTCGTCCAAGTTTCAGAGTTGGGTGGATGGTTCTGGGATGTCTCGTACTTTGTGGTGTCCTGGTGATCGTAAGTCTGAGGCTATACTTTGTGCATTCTGGTTGAAGCTCATGTATTTCACAGCTGGTGCCGGAAAGACGGTACTTGCCTCCCTCATCGTGGACTATCTACGCAAGCGAGTTGCTCAGAAAAAGATTGCTGCCAGTGTTCTATGTATCTTTTGCGACTATCGGAACGCGGGGGCTCAGACCATAACCAATATTATTCAGAGCTTGCTAAAACAGCTGATACAAGCTGAAGACAGACTCCCTTCCTCAATTGAATCCCTGTATGACTCGAACTGTCGCAACGGTCAAATGGGTTCTTTCCTTGACGAACTTACAGAGCTTCTTTCCACTCAGTTGGAAGGATACACCTGTGTTTACCTCGTCTTGGATGCCTTGGATGAGTTTCCTGGTGATTACGGGGAATGGAGGGACTTGATTACTGTTTTGAAGTCGTTAGGGGCCAACGTTCATCTCCTGGTGACTTCAAGGAACTACAGTACGATACAGAAGCTGTTCGAGGGAGATGATGAGTTGTGGGTTCGAGCAGAGGATGGTGATGTCCGGAAATTCATAACAAGCCAGCTTGATGTCATGGGACGCATTCCCCAGCACCTCAAGGACCGCGATGACTTGCGTGAGAAGATACTCACTGGGGTTGTGGAGAAGGCAAAGGGCATGTAAGGCTTCATCCTGTTTCTCCTCTTTCAGTTACTAATGGAGATTTCGTAGGTTCTTACTAGCGAGTCTACATGTGACTTTGCTTGCCCAAAGTGTGACTCGTGCAGACCTTGTCAAGGAGTTGGATAAGCTGCCAGACACCATGACAAGTGCATATGAGCATTTGCTGGACAGGGTTAACAAGAAAGTCAAACATGAGAAGAAGCTTGCATATCACATATTTGGTTGGATAGCTTTTGCTCAGCATCGTTTGAAGAGTGTGGAGCTGCAATATGCATTAGCTGTGAAACCAGGAATGAAAGAGCTTGATGCTGATAGCATTCCTGACTACGATGTCATCACAAGCATCTGTGCTGGACTTGTCATTGTGGACAGCAAAGGGTTTCCTACGTTTGTGCGTAAGTAGTGATTAGATCTTGATTTCCCTTACTTCATCAGCTGAATACTTTATTAGATTATACTACTCAAGAATATTTCACTTTGCACCAAGACGAACTTTTCCCCTGTATCCATGAAGATATGATGCGCACCTGTCTGACATACATGTCATTTGACATTTTTGAATCTCCCGATGTCCTCAACGACAACATATGTCCGGAACCGGCATTCACTGGGCTGCCATATAATCCCACCTACATACCTGCTCGCCTAGATTTCCTCAGGATCAAGGACAAGTATCCTTTCCTTGGGTATTCATTGAACAACTGGAGCTACCACGCGAGGAAATATGGTTTATGCTCTGTGAAAAACGAGATCCTTGCTTTCCTGCAGACTCGGACAGAAGTCGCTCTGTACTTTGAACGACTAGTATCTGGGATGCTACCCACTCCTGCATGGTTTGCTGCCAATCATGGTTTAGTGCATGTCATGGAGGCTCTTGTTAAACAAGGGGTTGACCTGCAACATGAAAATGCATTGTGTATCGCAGCACATGCAGGGCAGCTCGACATGGTGACATATTTGCTGTCGCGAAATGATGTGGATGTGAACCAGATGAACAAGGCCATGTACCTTCATGATTGGGACAAGTCCCTCGATCACCCCGCCAATGGAGTCGGAGTTGGGGGCTGTTGTCCTACTCTCTGCACACCTCTCATTGCTGCAGCATCCAATGGTCACGAAGAAATCGTCAAAGCACTTCTCAAGTCCAAAAACATGAAGTCATTGAACACGCAGTCTTCCTCCGGACATACAGCGCTATCAGAAGCAGTGTCGGGTGGCCATATCAGAGTGGCTAGGCTCTTGTTATCGCAACCTGACATCAACACCTCCATCCAATTCCAAGGCAAGACTCTCCTTATGCTTGCTGCAAGGTATGCCCAACGTGACATTGCGGCGTTACTCTTGGAGTCAGGAATTGATCCTGATATTCCAGGGGATGGTGGAAGGACACCTTTGCATGTGGCTGCCAGATGGGGTCGGCCTCATGTCTTTAGAATGCTCTTGGAGTCACGCCGGGTGGATATAAATAGGACCGATGACCAGGGAAGGACCGCTCTTTCTGTTGCTGCTTATTGGGGTAGAATAAACTGCGTCAAAGCATTACTCGATCAGCCAGGTCTTGATTTCACAATAAAGGACCACGACGGCAAAAGTGCATATGAGAGAGCAGTTGAAGGGGGACGCGACACGAACGTGGTGGCACTGCTTGCGGAACATGGAATGAAGGGCTCAGGGACCCAATGAGTGTCGTGCCCTGTATATTCAGCTCTGTTCATATATATCTACATACGTACACAGTGCATACTTATAATTCATACAAGCCATGCGACTTGCACCAAACATGATTAATCCCTTTGCCACCAAGTTGTCATGACCCTTCAACTCAAACCATGCTTGGGTTCTAGTCCGCATCGCCATTCAGATAAACAAACTACAGTGAAAAGAATTGAACTAACATTGAGCCGTGTTCAGATAGCTGCATTTACCGTTATTGCATCCATCCGTAGCTCTTGCCGCGTCACAAGAGTCATTGCTCTCCAATCCACTAGCACTGTTTGTGTACAGAGTCGATTGAAAAACGCTTCGTGAAAGACCTGGTCCATATGAAGCTGCACTTGCAAGCGAGTTCTCTAGAGTGTACACTATGCCAGCGATGTCAGGCGCTGGCCGTACAGAACTATCCAGTAATATTCAAAGGGGTCTAGGCGGTTCATGTCAAATCTATGTCACGAAGAGCTGGTTTAAAGATCTTGATTAATCTAAAAAGAAAGGAGATTTACGGTGGTGGGATAGCAAGAATTACGTCTTAAGAGCTGATAGCACAGAGGAGAGCAGCCCTAAGGAAGGGAGAAGCGAGACCCTTAGGATATACTGAGGCATCCCAGACATTAGCGGTAGATCTTCGATGGGTTCCGTGCCCATTTCATATTCCAGTTCTGTATCATGCAAACGATCAGCTCATAGCAATAGGAAGAGGGAAAGCGGACTACGGTTATCAGTACATTGAATGCAGAGCAAACGATCGTGGTGCATCTAAAAGTACAGTGATTCCGTTCCACGGCGTGTTTGGCTGAAACTGACGTGAACTGTGCAGCCTGTGATATAGTCACTGTCGTCGAACATCTATCTCAACCGCATCCGTCGATACGTGATATCCGACCCCAACCTCTCAAATACCCTTTCGGATGATCAAGCTATGATCTTTCAAAAGCATATTCCAGATGACAAAGATACTCCGCTTCGCACCACCGATAATTACCAGCAATAAAAGGCGCAAAAAACAGCCATGATTTTGGTAAACGGCGTTCTTTTATGGCCACCCTTGCAAACAAAACCATGTTCGCATACTCGAACCACGGAGGGAACGCGCCCGCCTTGCCCCAGTCGACTAACCAAACATCGCCTCTCTTATCCACGAGGATATCACGCATATTGAGATCCATATGACATAGAACAAGAGGATAGGAAGCGTCGAGCATGGGATACAAATGTAGTTTGAAACTCCCATAGTTCACATGCAGATCTACAAGGAGGAAGTAGCGACGGTGGTCAAACCAGTCCGCCATGGCACTGTACGATTCGAAAGGTCCCACCCCAGTCTCGGAGAAATAATATCCGCTGCAAGCCAAAGCTTTACCAGTGGAATCGAATGGGCCTGGGATGTTGGATCGGGGAACGGGAATCTGGTGCAGTTCTTGAACGGATTTCTGCAGCCTCCATACAGTCCACAAGCAATTCTACCAGCTTATCTTTGGCCATGCCATCTCCATTACATCGCCGTCTATGAAGTCCATCACTAGCCATATCAAATAACAACCTGGAAATAATTCTTCCTCGCGCACGGGAAGAACGCGCTGGACCTTTGGAATGCGGATGGACGTCGACCGTGAGACGACGTATGTCATCATATACGGTTCGTGAAGATTACATCTCTTTGCGACGGCGTCTGGGGCGATTTTCCATGCGGTGGTGGGCAGGTGATGCGTGGGTTGTTTATGATCCCGACCGTATCGTTGCGGCTCACAGCTGCATCAATGAGCGCCTTGACTTGATCATCGGACAATTAATCAACGGATGAGGAGAGCGTGTCTGGTCGGCGGCTGAGAAAAAAAATCAGTTGAATATATGCCACGACGAGTCGTCAAAGCAAATCGTACGATGACATGGATAGCCTCATAACGTTCAGAGTCACAGTTTCCTGGGGTGTGGTAGCTCAGAAATAAGGATATTAGAATGAGCTTGAGTGATGAGCAGAAGAAAAAAGATGGTGGGAGTCACCAGTAGTCGAGCACACGCCAAACCGGACCAGGGTCCGACTTGGTTCAAACCATCATGTCATCTAACGTCGAAGAATTTCGACAGGTCCTGTCTTCAGCTGAGAAAATTATAATATTATCTGGTGCTGGTCTATCCGCAGCTTCTGGTTTGCCTTAGCTTGTATTTTGTGAACTACGCTGATACACACTGCAGGAATTCCTACATATAGAGGCAGCGGGGGCCTCTGGCGTAAATATGACGCTGCATCATTAGCCACCCTTTCAGCTTTTGCTGAAAACCAGGCTCGAGTCTGGCAGTTCTTCCATTATAGGCGAAAACAGTGAGTACTCATACAGTGTTGTGTGAGTCGCTTTCTGCATCGTTTTGGTCACCACTAGAGTCCTTAATGCCGCTCCAAATGCCGCTCACTATGCACTTGCTCGACTGGCCATTCCAAGCATTCGCCAGAGCATCTCTCCTAATTCCAAGTGTACTCACATTACTCAGAATGTAGACGGCTTGTGTACTCGCGCTCTCGAGGAAACCATGAAGAATTTTCAGGAGACAGATGTCCCGTATCCCATAGAGATGCACGGACGACTCTTCGACGTCGTCTGTACCGCTCATGATTGCGACTTTCACGAAACAAACTACAACTCTCCAATCTGTCCGGCTCTGGAAGGTACTGAGCTTGTCGTCGAAGCTGGTGGTCCTGAGCCTGTGGTGCGACGGTCAGACCTCCCGCGATGCCCGAAATGTGGCCAGCTCTGTCGGCCTGGAGTTGTATGGTTTGGCGAACGACCGCATCACATTCATGAGATACTGCAGCTAGCTGATGAGGCTGATCTCTGCATCATAGTGGGAACCTCTGCGGTCGTACGTTCCAGTGCTCTGTGCTGAAGATTATTATTCTCATACCTAATTACGTACAGGTTCAGCCCGCGTCCAAGATTGGAGGAAGAGTCAAGGCTCATGGGGGCAAGGTTGCTCTGTTCAATGTCGAATTGGGCAATCATGCCGATGAAGCGGATTTCGTATTCTTAGGACCGTGCGAAGAACGTTTGGTTGAGGTGCTTGGCATCTGACATCTGTGCGATTAGAAATCGCCTAATGCTTATTGTCCCGTTTCGCGTGTAAAGAAGGAGGGAATGAAATCATCGGGGAAGTGATATGTCGAGGGACCCTAGGACTGAATCTTTTCGTCCGCCTATCTAAAATCTAGTGCTGGTTCTGGAACTCCCATAGAATCAACCGACATGTCATTGTCTTTTATCCAAGCCCCAACTTTTCGTCTCGTCTCATTCTTCTCCGCGCCAGACAACCACATCCTTCGCTTCATCCCATACAACAATTTGCACTCCATGTGGTACACAAGATATTGTAATGGCTAGCCTGCGCTCTGCAGGATTGTCTCACCTTTGAAGTTGATCTTCCCTTCCTTTCCCTTTCAGATTTCAGAAAGCAACATGCAGCTCAGCATTACTACCATAATGACAATCTACACGTCTCAACTACAGAGTTGATAGATCAGCATCCGTCGATCTCGTATGCCTCTTACTCGCAAGATATGTCACTATCTTGCCGTGTCCCGCTCCAACTGCAAGACTGTATGCAGATCTACCATTCACGTTCTTCGCCATGATATCGATACCAGTGTGCTCTGATAAGACTTTGACGGTTTGCATTGCCATCCTGCTAGTGCCAATGGCGGCTTTCATAAGAGCAGTGTATCCCAGATGATCCACCGCATTGATATCCACCCGACCTGTCATGAGAAGTATCTCGACAATACGACTGTGCCCATACATCGAAGCGCAATGCAGCGCCATAATTCCTTTGGGCGTTGCAGCATCCGGATCGTCTCCCCGCTCCAAAAGTATCCGCAGGATGTCCTCGTTGCCAATGCCTGCAGCGAGCATAATTGGTGTTAGAGCGTCCAAACCCAGGTTGTTGTATGTAATGGAGGTGTCGGTGTCAGGTTGTGAGAGCAAGAGCTTGACTACGCCTACGTGCTCATCGGATATGGCTGTCGATAGCGCTGTCATTCCAGAGGAAGATGATGCGTTTAGCGTCTCCATCTTGCTGGACTGTAGAAGCCTTTCGACGGTCCGTTCGTGGCCATTGGATGCCGCCGCAATAAGAGGCGTGCACAAAGGAGAACAAACAAAAATGTCTTCTAGCCCAAACCCACGAAATTGATGCCCAATCTCTGCAAAGCTATGAGGAAGCATGATCTTGCCAGCGCGGTTTACATCCACGTCCCAGTCGTCTCGCGATAGCAAGAGTTCAACGAAGGCGAGCTGTCCTGCCTGAGCTGCAATACAGAACACGTTTTCTTCTACCAAGTCAACTCAGCCTCGGTCCGCTAGAACTTCCATGACGTGTACAAGGCCGTAGCGAGCAGCAAACCATGCGGGGGTGCGTTGTACTTCAGGTTGAGAATATGGTGGCTCCTCAAAAGACAGTGCGACTTTTGCCCGAGTAGGTAGGAATGTAAGGATCTCGTTTTCCACAGTGTCCCGAGTGCATTTCCTGGCATGGTATGTCCAGTTATTGGATGAATACCTGAGGAAAGGATACACTTCCAGGCTGTTACAGAATAACTCTAACATGAAGGAGTCGGGAGAGCTAAAGATGTCAAGTGACATGTACGCAAGGCAGGTGCGCGTTATATCTTCCTGGATGTAGGGGAAAAGTTTGGCTTTCCGGGAAATAAAAAATTCCTGCATCGAATGATCTAGTAGCAAATCATTCAATAACCCACGAAAAATCAGAAATTGAGGTTTGGTTACTACTTACGAACGAACGAAGGGGATCCTTGACGGTCCCTGACGACGAATCCTGCGCAGACCTTGGTGATGATGTTGTAGCTGACGATGTTCCGAGCGCTGAGACTTTTGCTTCTTGGTTCCACAGCTAATGCATGCTGCAATTCTGAGCCCGTCAAAGGACGCTCCGCGAAAGCTATCCAACCGAATATGCGATAAGCGAGGTCTTTATTTGGTTGGCTGTCTATTTTGGTTAGGAGATACTCATACGCGTGTTCGATGGTATTGGGGAGTTTCAATATCCAGCTCCTCGACAAGCCGTTTGTGATCTGTGATTTGAGCTAGCAGATACATGTGTATATTTGCCAAAAGGAACCTGTGGAAACTGTCGGCTGATAGAAGAAGAACAAGCATAGGAAACTTGCACGCCATCCGCCTTCTCCACAACTGTCTTGAGTATCTTCTCGCGAATATTCTTGCCACCTTTGAGAGAGATAGGAAGATATCCCTGCTTGAGCTTGACTAGGATAGTCTTCCTGATATCAGCACCATCTGCTCGGATGTCCAATTTCGTATCTGCCACGAACAACGACCGTATCGTATGAATGTTTCTCGAAGTCACAAGAAGGCAAATATTGTCGCCTAATGCCCTTAGAATATCGATGAGCTCTTTTCGGCCGCCGAGGTTTTTATTAAATTCGTCCAAAGCATCCAAGATTATGTAGACGTGGCGAAATGGCTCCAACTCCTGGGAAAGAAGGTTTGTGATGCCGTCAAGTGAAGGTCGTGTCCCATTACGAGAATACCGATTGTAGAAGGATTTAATAGAGTCAGTCAGGCTGAGGCGGGCTTGGATGAACTGTTTCAAGAGACTGCAGATAACGTTAGTTACTGTCTGGGTTGCCGCGCTGCGATAATCGCAAAAGGTACACAAGACAAGAGTTTCTTCCGCATTGAACTTCACGCGCAAGTGGTCGACAATGACAGAAGCGAAAATTGTCTTTCCGACACCGGCTATAGAATATATATAAGCGTCGACGAGAAAACTCAAGACCCATAGTACTCACGATCGCCAAAACACCACAAAGTGGAGGGCGCTTTAGAAATATCTGTCCAACTCAGAAACTGTGGGGACTTAAAGAACCACGCTCCAGTGTCGCTCGCACGTTGTTCCAGCTTGTCGTGTTGAACACAATTGTAATCTAAAGGGGTCAGCCAGGCCGCCACGTACGCAGCTTCCCTGTCTACAAGGTACGGGTAGATCAGCATTCAATATGAAGACAAACCTTGATCACGAACGCACCCATTTGTAGCTGATTGGTCAAGTATGTGGTTTCTAGGACTTCCCGTGACCGCTGAACCGCACGAGATAATGCACTGTGTACATAACTTAGACTTCGACAAGTAAGCATAAGAATCGCTTACAGATGATTGTGTTGCGCGGCGACCAGGAGCAAGGACTTGATACGCTCGAGCTTCCCTAGGTCCTCCTCCATGCCGTCTTTAGTAAAAGGCCACTGCAGCATCCTTCTCATCCAAGAGGACGTGTCCTCCAGCCTCTTCTTGAGTTTATTAAGTATCTCAGTAAGCTCATCGAGAGTAGTCTCCAATTCTTGTAATGTCACAAGCCACAGGTCGTCTTCAGTCACCGACCGGGTATGCAATTCTACCATAGTCAGGGCGATCTCCAGATCCCGTAGCTCCTTCAAGAGCTTGTCAAGTTCTTTAGGTGCTTCTTTTATGTTCTTTAGATACGTGGTGATAGTACGGGACTTTTGGATGAGGGGGCCAACGGACGAAGCGGTTCCTAGAGCCTCTACCATGATTGGCGGTGAAGGACAAGGCGGTGTACAAGCAGAGACAGGTGATCGAAATCGATTATATAGCCAGCCACCGATGACATCTACTCTGAGACTACAAGTTAGTACAACCTCGCCTCGTCTGACGACATCGAATACGGCCGGTATCTGGAACTTCTCGAGAAAAGAAAGATACAACTTATGTAGTGCAACACGATATCCACCTTCATGCTCAGATGATTGTCCAATGCCCCTGGACATCGCCTCACTCCGGAAGCATCTTCACAATGTCAGCTCTCCACATCCTTCTGGCCAGCAGAAGCGGTGTTTCGTCTAGGAACCGGACGGAGGTGTCGATGCCAGGCTGCGACAGCAAGAGCTTGACCACTCTAGTGTGGTTACCAAATACGGCTGCTGATAATGCGGTGGGTCCACCGGGAGGCAAAAAGTTCATGGATTTCATGTCCTTGGATTCTAGTAACACCCTAACAATTTCTTCGTAACCATTCGAGGCAGCGGCGATGAGAGGTGTGCAGAAAGTAGGATGAGACGCTTTTCCGTCCTCGAGTCCGAGTCGATTGGCGCCGTCGTTGCGATCGATAGAGTGATCGTAAAGATATGTGATCTTGTTCGCCTGATTCACGTCTACGTCATCGCACGACAACAACAATTTCACCGTGTCAAGCTGCCCTGCATGTGCCGCGATACACAGCACATTTTCATGCTGCAGGTCGACCCCTCGCTCCACAAGAGCCTCCAAAAGATATAACAGGCCGTAATGGGCAGCAAACCATGCAGGAGTGCGTGGTACTTCTGGTTCCGAGTCAGGTGTTTGTTCAAACGACAGAGCGATTCCCGCTTGTGTGGGTAAAAAAGCGAGGATATCCTCTTCCACGGAGTCGCGCACGCATTTCCTGGCATGGATTGCCCATTTACTCGACGCGTAACTGAGGAAGGGATACTTTTTGAGCATGTCAGATTTCGATAGGGAAAGGACATCGGGTGACCGAAAGATATCGAATGGCATATAGGTCAGGCAGGTACGCGTTATGCGCTCCTGGATACCGGGAAAGAGCGTGTCTTTTTGAGAAATAAAGTATTCGCGTGTTGTAGGGTCTAGCAAGTCGTTCAATGATAGGGGAGAAGTTGAAATCTGAGGACTGATACTGACACGCAAATCTAACGTATCCTTGGCTGTCAACGATGACAAACCCGATGCAAGCGTGTGAGATGAGGTCAAAATCAGGTATTTTGTCCATATTGAGCTTGCTGGTTCCTGGTTGCACGGCTAATGCGTGCTGTAATTCCAAGATTGTTAGACGCTGCTCAGCAAATGCCACCCAACTGAACACTCGATAGGCGAAGTTCCTCTTTTGATCGGACTGCGAATCAACCCTTTTCAGAAAATGCTGGTATGTGCCTTCAATGGAGTCCGGCAGATTGTCAAGCGCCTCAACAAATTCACCACGGTCTGCGTTCTGAGCGAGTAAGGTTATATACATATCAGCCAGAAAAAACCTACGGAAACGACTGGGTTAATAGCTCAAAGACTAAAGGGATAGAAACCCTACATGCCGTTGGCCCTCTCCTCGATCTTCCGAAAATCCTCTTGTGCGCTCTCTTCCGAAAATGTCCACTGGAGTTTCGGCCCTACCCTTTTCCACCACAGCGAGGTAACCTTCAGTCCCTTCTCGATTCCAGAAAGTAACCCAGTAAGCTCTTTGAAGGGATCCTTTAACTGCTGTAATATCATCAACCATGGGTCGCCTGCAGTCGACAGCAGCGTGATTATTTTGACAGTCGACAGGTGGATCTCCATATGCCGTAGCTCCCTCATGAGCTCGTTACATTCTTTAGGTGCCTCTTGTACATCCTTGAGATATTTGATGACAGTATGAGACTTTTGGATGAGGGCAGTAATGGACGCGATTTCTTGAGCTCCCATGGTGGTTGATAGTAAGTCACAAAGTCTTAGACTTTCCACCCTTCGTCAGCCCCCTGCGGATGGATCGGAACTTTTGGGAGGACCGTCTTTGTAGCGCTGGTGAAGGTTCCCCGGCCGCATTAACAAACGAGGACGCGTCAAAGGCGACGTCGCCAGTAAAGGACTTTTCCTTGGAGTCGTTGGAACGTGATAGCGGCACGTTCAGGAAGAACGGGAAGAATTTGTGCTTGTTGACAACATTCTCCATGAAAATAGGCAGGTGGCATTCGATAATCATTTCAAAAGCTGCAGATGAAATTAATCTCAACACGAGTCCGGTGCGATGAGGAGGGTGGACATACCAAAGAGTCTTATGGGGCTCAGAACATTGCTTGACGACCGCAATAGTGCTGGAATCCATTCAGAAATCTGAACAGCCAGGTAGACATTTTTTCCATGGCTAAAAGTCAACGCTGCCCTGTGGCACGACGACGACTGCCCTTACTGCTCAGCGCTCTTCATTGACTTGCCCCCTCCGTGACGCTCCCCGTCTCATCCTATAGTCATGGGCATGTCTTTCTCTCCACCTGCATGATGTCGAGTCTTCTTTATCCCAGGCCTTCTCCGACGCGTATTTCCCTTGCCCAATGGAATGACCACAGACTAGAACCCGACCATCATTCAGCGAATTGAGGATAACCTGGATGGAGGAGCCGCATCTTGAATTGAGAAAATATTTCGATAGACAAGCATATAAGGTCGTCGTAGCCTGGCGAGGCGGCTTTATAGATAGGTACTCATGGTGTTGGTGTTGGTTACTCTGGATGAGGACAAGTTGGCGTTACCTCACGTGGCTGTGCTGCGGACCGATCACCCGTTTCAACCTGCCCTGCCCGTTTCAACTCTCGTTCGTCCTCTCTCGTTGTTCATACCGCGCGAAGACTGTGGTTCCTACTGCAAGCGGAGGCACATCCACTTCCCACCTTTGGAATGAAACAGACCTCTTGGAACGTGCTGACAATATAGCATTGGTCCATAATTCTGCACCCAGCTCTCCCCGGTACCCATATGCTTGCCTCTTGTCAATATTGGAATATGCGAGTGTGAAGGAACATGAGCTGGCGTTGAACTCTGCTTCCATCTCTCCACCATCTCGTAGTTTGGAGGACTCTGCTTCGAAACTCGGACACACACGAAGCCCCTCTCAATCGCCTACGGTCCCTGCCTGTTTGTCTCGCGAAGTCTTTGGTCAAGTGAAGACACGCGTGGGCGACAATTCAACGTGACAATATAGGTTTGAGCGGCGTATGGTCCTAGAATGTACAGAACCCGACGTGACTGGGGACGAAAAAGGTCGCTGCGGAGGGAGGAACTCAGTGAAGGAGGCGTCGTCCTGAGGGATGTGCTGACTTGGACCGTGGATTGGCCGGAAGAACGTCCACCGTGACTTTTTTCAAAAATTTTCACGAGTGCCGTTGCCGTTGTCAAGTATGTTTTTCCTTATGGGCTCGACCAGACCCTTCCTTGGCTATGCAGTATGACTCTTTGGTACGTCCGCCATCCTCGAACACGCTCGTATTGAGATTAATTTCATCTACAGCTTGACATCGTTATCCAGCTTGGGCGCCGGCAGCCCATGGTCGTCAAAAGGCACGAGTTCCTCAGACGTCTCGCTATCACATCCCAATGACTCCAAGGGGAAGTCGCCGTGACATCCTCTGTTGATTAATGCGGGCATGACCTCCTCACTAGAGATACCTTTGGGCACAAGGCAGCTATCGCCTCTCATCCTTTCCTTCCTCCGTCTTCCTGATCTACAATGCCGAATTATACTTTCAAAGACGACCTCACCAGTCGTTTTTTTCCCCATATCACTGCGAACCCTTGAACCCAGGTTCGTTCAAACGATCAAGCTTCCCTCGATGTCGTATGATGAAATTATCTGCATACTCCTTCCCCCCAATGACATGCCTACCCGCCTCTCCAGCTATAGTTTTAAGCCGAGATTCTCCGTTTTCCTCTCTGTACAGTGAATACGAACATCACCAACAATCTCCCAGATCCAACACTTCGAATCATCCGCCCCAAAAAAACTCTGTTTGCTTGTCTGCAGGTTTATGTCCTCTTCACCAGATGATTCCAGTTCCATTATCTGAATCCTGATACGCGCCTCGACCACTACGTTCACTGTTCCTGATGCAGCTATACAACAAGAGAGCCTCAAACCACGTGTTTGGAAGCCGGCTTGCCAATACAAGCGTCAAACCACCTCCCGCGACTTGTAAATTCTCTCAACTACGACTAGTCACTGAGCTCGATGAATGTGGATTCCATCCAAGTGGCTAGACGAACATTTTACTTCTGGTCTTTTCGACGACGCCATGCAAAGAGGCACCGACTCACAATGTAACCGCATACGCTTGACACGGAGACAGGCTGAAGCAGCAGATGAAGAAGGTCAAGCATATCCTGGAAAGGTTCAACGGAGAATGGATGACAGATTCGAGGGGATGCATGAGTATGTGGATGACGTCGTGGACGTCGTAGAGAAATGCATGCGGAGAAGTGCGAGAAGTAGTCGTGATTTCTGTGCAGTCTCTCAGGAAGGTTAGAGAGGATGTGAATTTGAAGCTTTCGCTGCTTTCGTATCTCATAGCTCGTCTACCCCCTACAGTTGTCGTCATCGTCTGGACTGTATAAAAGAGGTGTACTGTCCGCTTACCGTCTTGTTATTCATTCATGGCATGTCTCTTTTGTACTATTCTCTTCCATTTCCACACCTTGGATTTCTTCACTTTAAGGATGCGCGATTCGGTATTGGGTTGGATGTAATAATAAAAAATAAAAAATTTACAATGCTGGTTATGCTCTTTCGTGCACCATTGTATTGGTCATTCGTCGGTATTCCTCATCACCTCATGCCTACTAAGACGCCAAAAAACGCGTACACGCCCTGCAGATACTCTACAGCTGGCTCGCAGACATACGGGGTGATCCTCTGTAAGGTGAGGAATTGGACAACCCATGTTCAGTGTCCTGGACGCTATGAATTAGCAAACGTTGGAGGAGAAGATAATTGACAAACCTGGGTCCAAGGTACTACGCTGGAGACCGTCCGGTGTCGTCGTCAGCAAAGCCATGTCCCTGCTCGATGAACACCTTCACGATATCATCTCTGCATCTCCTTTTGGCTACCATAAGAGGAGTTTCGTCTAGAAATTGGGTAGATGTGTCGATGCCAGGCTGCGATAGCAAGAGCTTAACCACTCCGATGTGGTTACCGAATATAGCTGCTGATAGTGCGGCGGGTCCGCCAGGGGGAAAGAAATTCAACGATCTCATGTGCTTGGATTCCAGTAACGCCCTGACAATATCTTCATAACCATTCGAGGCAGCAGCAATGAGAGGCATGCAGAACGTAGGACGAGAAGCTCGTACTCCGAGTCTGTTGGAGCTGCTGTTGCGATCGATGGAATAATCGTAGAGGTAGGTGACCTTGTCGGACTGATTCACATCCATGTCTTTAGAGCGCGAAAGTAACAACTTTACCATGTCGAGCTGCCCTGCATGCGCTGCGATGCACAATACGTTCTCATGCCGCAGATCAACTCGTCGATCCAGTAGAACCTTCATGACATTGACTAGACCGTAATGTGCTGCAAACCATGCAGCAGTGCGTGGTATTTCTGGTTCCGAGTCTCGAGGCCGTTCAAAAGACAGAGCAATGTTTGCTTGAGTCCGTAGGAAAGTGAGGATCTCCTCTTCCACGGAGCCTCGTGTACATTTCCTGGCGTGAACTGCCCAGTTACTCGACGCGTAACTGAGGAAGGGATACTTTGTGCAGATCTCTGGCTTTGAGAGGGAAAGGACGTCGGGTGACCGAAAGATATCGAATGACATATAGGTTAGGCAGGTGCGCGTTATGTGCTCTTCGATACCAGGAAAGAGCCTGTCTTTTTGAGAAATAAAGTATTCGCGAGTTGTAGGGTCTAGAAATTTATTCAATAAAAAAGGAGAAATCGAGATCTGAGGACTAACACGTGAATCCAACAGACCCTCGTCTGTCAACGACGACAAGTCCGACGCAAACACTCGAGATATAGTCAAAATCGAGGATAACATCGAGCTCCGCGGTTCCTGGTCGCACAGCTAATGCATATTGTAATTCCAAGATTGTCAGCGGCCGCTGGGCAACAGCGACCCAGCTGAATGTTCGAATGGCAATGTCCCTGTCTGTCTCGGGCTTATGGTTGACCCTTTCCAGGAAATGCTTATACATGCTTGCCATAGTTCTTGGGAGTTCATTAAGCTCCTCAACAAATTTCCTACGATCTCCAGTGACCTGGGTGAGTACAGTGGTGTGTATATCTGCCAGGAGGATCCTACAGAAACAACGGAGTTAATGACCGAAGGAAGAGCAATGGGATGGGAACCTTACATGCCGTTGGCCTTTTCCGTGAGTATGTTCTGACGCAGGTCATCGTGGTCCCTAACGAGAATCCTGAGATTTTTATTATCATCGAGCCTACTTGTGACCAATTTTCGGATATCACTGCCATCTGCTCGAATACGTAGCTCTTCATCTTCCTGAAAGATCCGTTGGATGGCCGAATTGTTTCTCGACGTGACAAGGAGACGGACTCTGTTCCCGAATGACTTCAACGCGGAAATTAAATGTTCTTGATTGCCATCAAATTCATCGAAGCCATCGAACACAATATAGATGAGGCGGTATCCTTGCAGATGGATGGAAAGAATGTCCATGAATTCGTCGAGGGAAGGAATCGTTTCATCTTTGATATTCTTCTCGTATAGGGAGTCGAGCGAGGGAGAAAGCCCGTTTTGTATGTGTATAAACTGCTTTAGCAAGGAACGAATTATGTCGGGTACAGTCTTGGCATCCGAGTTTTGCCAGTCACCGAAAACACGAAGAATAGGGATGTTTTCTTCGCCGAACCGTTTGTGCAAATGAGCGACAACCATGCATGCGAGGAATGTCTTTCCAGTGCCGGCTTGAAATAAGCTTCAACAAAGATATGCAGAAATAGCATTAGACTCACGATCGCCAGGACACCACAAAGTAGAAGACTTTGAGCTACCATCTACCCAACTCGTAAACTGTGGTGCCTCGAGGAACCATTGTCCAGTACCCGCAACACGTTGTTTCAGCTTGTCCTGGTGAACGGGACTGTAGTCCAAAGGCGTGAGCCAATCTGTTACCTCCTTGGATTTTTTGTATCTGTGCATCAGTATATGATCCAACGGTGGATATCGGGAATGAACGTACTCTTTGGTCTATTTAGAATAGTGTCAACTTTATCGCGGAGCTCACTTAGTGTTTGCTGAACATTGAGAGAGAACGCACTGTTTACCGAATTTAGTCTCTAGCAAGCCAAGCCAAGCATAACAATCACTTACAGGGCCTCGTGCTGGCCAATGACATTCATAATCAATGACCCGATATCTTCAATCTTCATCAAATCCTCTTGCGCGCTCGATTCAGCAAATGTCCACTGGAGCCTCTGCCCCACCCCTTTCCACCACAGCGAGGTAACCTTCAGTCCCTTCTCGATTCCAGAAAGTAATCCAGTAAGCTCTCGGAAAGGATCGTTCAACTGCTGTAATATCATCAACCATGGGTCGCCTGCAGTCGATAGCAGCGTGATTATTTTGACGGTAGACAAGTGGATCTCCATATGCCGTAGTTCCCTCATGAGCTCGTTACATTCTTTAGGTGCCCCTTTTACATCCTTGAGATATTTGATGACAGTACGGGACTTTTGGATGAGGGCTGTAATGGACGCGATTTCTTGGGCTCCCATGGTGGTTGATAGTAGGTCTCAAAGTCTTAGACTTTCCGGCCTTCATCACAGGCACCCGCGGACCGGAACATTTAGTGAGAGCGAGTCCCACTCACATTAACAAATGATGACGCGTCCGCGTCAAGGGCGGCCTCGCCTGCAAAGGACTCTTTCTTAGAGTCATTAGAGCATGATAGCGAAAAGTCTGGGAAGAATTCGTACTCCTTGACGACCTTCTCCGGTAGTGGATAATTATTTCAAAAGCTGCAGATGAAATTGATCTCAACACCAGTTCAAGCGCAGTGAAGACAGTAGACATACCGATAAGTCTTATAGTGGTTAAGAACATTGTTCGACGATGACATTAGTGTGTGGCGGCTGTGCTGTGGACCGATCGTCCGTTTACTAGAGTTGTCGCTTGTCCTCTCTTTTCGCTGTTTCTGTTCACAGGGCGAAAGCGGCGATTCCTACTGCAAGCAATTGCACAATCTTATCCCATCCACAATATATATTCCGCTACCCGCATTTCGAGATGAAGCAGACATTCCAGAATACACTGACATAAAATGGGTCGACATTGGTCCGTAAGTGCGCATCATTTCATGTCATGTCTTTACCAAAACGCTAAAAAATCGACAAGACATGTACAACGTTTCAGACCCCGCACATGCTCCACGGTTGGCTCACAGACATCCGGGATGATCCTCTGCAAGGTGAGGATTTGAATGACTTGGCATGTCCAGTGTCCTGGATGCTATAGATTAGCCAAGATTGGGGAAAAGAAATAATTGGCAAACCTTAGTCTGAGGTACTACACCGGAGACCGTCATCGCCATTTCCTCGGTCGATAAATATTTTCACGATATTGTCTCTGCATTTCCTTTTGGAAAGCATAAGAGGAGTTTCGTCTAGAAATCGGATGGAGGTGTCGATGCCAGGCTGCGACAGCAAGAGCTTGACCACTCCAGTGTGGTTACCAAATACGGCCACTGATAATGCGGTGGGTCCACTGGGAGGTAAAAGGTTCATGGATTTCATGTCCTCGGATTCTAGTAACACCCTAACAATTTCTTCGTAACCATTCGAGGCAGCGGCGATGAGAGGCGTGCAGAAAGTAGGACGAGACGCTCTTCCGTCCTCGAATCCAAGTCGATTGGCACCGTCGTTGCGATCGATAGAGTAATCGTAAAGGTACGTGATCTTGCTGGCCTGATTTACGTCCACATCATCGCGCGACAACAACAATTTTACCGTGTCAAGCTGCCCTCCGTGGGCTGCAATACACAGCACGTTTTCACGCTGCAGATCAACCCCTCGCTCCACAAGAGCCTCCAAAAGATTCAGCAAACCATATTTGGCAGCAAACCAAGCAGGAGTACGTGGTACTTCCGGTTCCAAGTCTGGTGGTTGTTCAAAAGACAGAGCAATTCTTGCTTGGGTTGGCAAAAAAGCGAGGATATCCTCTTCCACAGAGCCCCGTGCACACTTCCTGGCGTGAATTGCCCAGTTACTCGACGCATAATTGAGGAATGGATACTTTGCGGAGATTTCGGGTTTTGGTAAGGGAAGGACATTGGGAGAGTGAAATACGTCGAATGACATGTAGGTTAGACAGGTACATGTTATGTGCTCTTGGACACCGGGAAACAGTCTGTCTTTTTGAGAAATAAGGTATTCTCGAGCGGTAGAGTCTAGTAAATCATTCAATGAAAAGAGAGAAATCGAGATCTGAGGACTACTTACGCGCGAATCTCACCGACCCTCAGCCATCAACGATGACAAGCCCGATGCAAGCGCTTGAGATAAGGTCGAAATCAATGATTTTATCGAGGTTGAGCTCCGTGGTTCCTGATCGCATGGCTAGTGCGTATTGTAATTCCAAGATCGTCAGAGGTCGTTCCGCAAAAGCTATCCAGCTGAATATTCGATAGGCGAAGTCCCTCTTTCGCTCGGGCTTACAATCGACCCTTTCCAGGAAATGCTCGTATGTGCCTTCAATAGTGTCTGGTAGCTTGTTAAGCGCCTCAATAAGTTCGTCCCGATCTTTGGTCTGAGCTAGTAGAGTCATGTGCATATCCGCCAGGAAAAACCTATAGAAACAACTGGTTAGTGACTGGAAGAAGAGCAGTAGAATGGAAACCCTACATGCCGTTGGCCCCCTCCACGATCCTAGTCAGTATGCTCTGGCGCAGATCACCGCGATCTGTAAGGGAGACACAAAGAGACTCCTCATGATTGAGCTTATTCAAGATTAATTTCCGAATATCGTCGTCGTCCGCTCGAATACGCAGTTCTTCATCATCCTGAAACAACCGTTCCATGCGTGCATTGCTTCTTGAGGTGACCATGAGATGAACACTGTCTCCTAATGACTTCAAGACAGAAACCAACTCCTTCCTATCACCCGGAAATTCATCCAATGCATCAAAGACGATGTACGCGTGATGGTATCGTTTCAAATGGGTCCTAAGAAGCTCTGTGAATTCATTGAGCGTTTGATATTGGATTCGATTCTCCAGTGAGGAAGACAGGCCATTTTTGGCATTTAAAAGCTGCTTCAACAGGCTGCGTATTATGCTGAGCGCAGTCCTAGCGCCGGCGTTTTGCCAGTCACCAAAAACGCAAAGAACGGGAATGTTTTCTTTGGCGAATCGTCGGCGCAAATAATCGATAGCAATAGAAGCCAGGATTGTCTTTCCGGTGCCAGCTTGAAAATTCATGAGCTTCTGCAAAGATACGCGGGGATGACCTCAGACTCACGACCGCCAGGACACCACAAAGTTAGGGACTTCCCGGAACCACCCACCCAACTCTGAAACATCGACGACTTAAGAACCACCATCCAGTGTCGCCAACACGTTGTTCCAGCTTATCCCGTTGAATGGCACTATGATCCACAGGAGTGAGCCAATCCGCTACCTCCTTGGCTTTTTTGTATCTATGCATGAGTATACAATCCAACGGCCGAATTTGGAATGAACATACTCTTTTGTCCATTGAGAATAGCATCAATTTTGCGCTCGACATCACTTAGCCTCTGCTGGATATTGAGATAACGCGCTGTGTACCAAACTTAGTCTCGGACAAGTTATGCATAGAAGTCACTTACAGACACTCGTGCTGTTCGACAACATGCATGATCAACGACCCGATATCCTCAATCTTCATCAAATCCTTCTTCGCACTCTGTTCCGAAATGGTCCACTGAGACCTCGGCCCTGCCTTTTTCCACCACGACGTTGTAGCCTTCAGACCCTTCTCGATTCCAACCAGTAGCCCGGTAAGCTCTCGGAAAGGATCGTTCAACTGCTGTAAAATCATCAGCCACGGGTCACCTGCAGCCGACAGTGATGTGATTATTTTAATGGTAGACAGATGAATCTCCATATGCCGTAGCTCCCTCCTGAGTTCGTTGCATTCGTTAGGCGCCTCTTGTACATCCTTGAGATATTTGACGACTGTACGACACTTTTGGATAAGGGCGGTAATGGACGCGATTTCTACCATGGTGTTTGCCGTTTGAGTCTCAAGTTGCAAAGAGTCTTGGATCTTTCCGCCTTTTAGCACGGCCACCCCGCGGATCAGCCGGAACGAGTAATTTTGCATGCGGCCACTACATCACGGTGTCGCGCAACGGTATCCATCGAATTCCGTGTCAAATATGTAGATACCGATCCTCGAACGTGATGGCGACACATTCTGGAAGAACCCTTGCTTCTTGGCGACTCTCTCGATGAAGATAAGCAACCAGTATTGGATGATGATGATGAAGGTCTGGATTGGTGACCCGCAACATGCCTCGTAGTGGGCGAAGACGCAGGGGTACAGTACTCTACTGCTATGTATGACTGTACCGCTACTCGTTGTAATACTAATCTACTTGTCAACTCTATGGTATGTAAAACTCTCGGGTAAAATTCTATGTAGCTTTGTGTGTTTTAGGTGTCTATTCTTCGTTGCGAAAATCATTGTCTAGGGAAAAGAGATAGAGAATAAATACAATAGAAAAAGAGTAAAGGAAAAGGAACAATTGGGGGGGAGGGGGGGGCGGTAGCGCTGTGATGTAGTGTTCTATCCATCATCCTCTTCTTCATGCGGCTCTGGTTCATCTTCCCAGAGCGGCATTCCCACCTCTCGCCTTGGAGTTCCAGGTCTTTGTAAAGGCTCCAGACTCCGCTAGGAACCTTGTGACCGCTTCGATGCCCTCTGTCGTGCCCAAAAGGTCGCACATCACTAGATTCTGTGATCCTTCGCGTAGGATCTGTCGATGGTCGTTGTATCATGGGCAGGATCGTATGATGTGATCTCGCGTTTGTAGTCGCTCGCCGCATTCGCAGTCTGTCGCCTCTGGGATGTTAAACAGTTCGTAGAACTCACCCATGTGGGCGTGCCCTGTTCTACACTGTACGAGCCTTCCGAACACCTCGCGTGGTGTCTCCTTGAACCTCTGGGTTGGTTTTAGCTGTGGTTTGAGTCGGTTTGCGAGTCCAAAGCGGCCAGTAGGGCTTGTCCTTTCCCACTCCTGTACCCATTTCTTCTGTACTCGTTCTCGCATCCTTCTCCTTGCAGTTTGCATATGTGCGCTGTCCCATGTCGAACATTGTACATGCCTCCTTCGCCAAAGCGTCCGCTTTTTCGTTTCCAGGTATGTCCTGGTGGCCGGGTGCCCATGCTACCTCCAGCGATGTTTCTTCATCCTCTTCCAAGAGCTCCGTGGCTATCTTGAAAAACACTGTTGCATGCTGTTGACCTGGTCCCCGTTTGGGACATATAATGGAGTCAACTGCAGAGGAGTTATCGGCAAAGAAATGAATGTGACGTACGCTTGGGTGGGCTGCATGCAATCGTTGTACATTTCGTGCAGCCCACGCTAAGCCTATAAGCTTTGAGTCATACACCTCAGCATGGGGTCCTGTCCCTATGCTCTGTGATGCGACCACTTTTCCCCAAATCATCGCTACCCAGCTCACTCCTGTCTGTCGTTTGCCGTTTAATTTGAGTAGGGAGCCGTCTGAGTATAACAGTAGATGGGTGTCGTCGAAGGAGAACCTCCTTATGTAATCTCGATGTTTCTTCGCAGCGTCCTCTTTTGATTCACCACTGACTGGTAATGAGGTCTGAAATCTGTTTCCGTATTCTGTCAGTGATTTCTCTCATGGGGCTATTGGGAATAGTGAAATTCTCTCATCCTCCGGTGTTAATATTGACTCTAGCTCGCCTAGGAAGGTTCTCCTTGTTGGCCTTTCTTTGTTTCGTCGCATTCTAATTGGAATGTCGGGCTGTATTGGCGGGTGTGCTCGTGGTGCCACACCACCTCTCCAATCTTTGTCTGTTAGTCGCTGGATGATGGGACTTGTTTCGCTGAACTTGCATATCCATACCACAAACCTATCTCGTTCGAGATCCAGTAGGTGCCGGATGGGTGGTATAGACGCTTCAATTTCTAGAGCAACAATCGGTGTTGTTCTGAATGCTGCACAAATCAGGCGTAGCGCTCGATTCTGTACTCATGTAAGCATTTTGATATGAGATGCTTGCCGTTTTCCTTTCCACCATATAGCTGCTCCGTACGTCAAAACTGGGAGAACACATGACATATAGAGTTGTCGCATGTGGTTCTGGCTCAGTCCTCATATGGTGTTTGCTAGCATTCCAAGCCCGTTTACCACTGACTCTGCCCTTCCCACCATCTCCTTGATGTGAGACCGGAAATTCAGCTTTGCGTCAAAGAAGAACCCCAGCCATCTTGTCGATAGCTTTGGTGCAATTGTGACTTCAGTCCCAGCCAGTTTTGTCAGGCAGGATGATTGCCGGAAATGGTGTGACCCCCTTTTGTGAGACGAAGTGGCATAGCTCTCTCTTGTCGCAGTCTAAAGAAAGGCCAATCGACTTGAGGAGATCCGATGTATTGTGATACTCAGCTTTTAGGATGGCGACTGTTGGTCTCAAGGCTTTTTGAGCTAACCCAGATGTTGCCATCATCTGTGAACATGACTGTCGTCGGTTTGGTGTGCCACTGGGGGTTCCTTGAAAACCATGCAGCATCTGGCTTTAGTGGTGGTTCGGGTGGTGGTACTTCTGGTGGGGTATATCGCTCCAGAATCTCTGCTGAGTAGAACGCTGATAGGATTGGTGACACCGGGGATCCCTGGGGAATTCCAGTTCATCACTGGTTTCATCTGACCTCGCTTGCTATCTAGGCACACCGCTGCCTGTCGCTGCATGAGGAATGAGGATACCCATTTCACAGTTGGTAGTGGTATGTGTTTACGGCACAATTCCCTTAGTAGTCGTGCATGGTTGATAAAGTCAAAGTAGCCTGTAATGTCAAACATCAGTGATGAATGTGACTAGTCCTCTTGCCCTTGCTGCCTCGATATCATGTACGAATGTGGCAGCTGCATCGATTGTTGATCGTCCTGCAAGGCCTCCAAACTGGGTTGGTGGTACCAGATTTCGTGTTTCGGCCCAGAAAGCAAGTCTATTTGCCTGTATGCGTTCGAGGACCTTTCCCAAGCACTCCAGCAGTTGGATGAGTCTCCATGCTCTTGGCATACCATAGTCCTTCTTTCCAGGTTTTCTTAATGCAAAAGCTATAGCTGTTTTCCATGGCGTTGGGTGGTAGCCCATGGCGGCACAGAGGCGGATGAGTGCAATGATGAAATCTTCGCATACATTCCATGCCCACTGTAGCAGTAGGTAATTGATCTGTGATGCACCAGGAGCAGAAGTCTTTGATCCGGCAAATAATGCTGAACGTACCTCTTCCCTGGAGACATCGTGGTATTCTATGTCTCCCAGGTTCCTAGTTTCTAGCTCTGGTTCCTCGCTATCTGGCAGTTCTGGAGGTGGTTGGAATAACTCATCTCGGATTGCATTACATTTGTCCTCGTGTGTCACCGCTGGTGTCTCCCCTTCGCCTCGGCTAATTGCTGGTGAAGGATAGTTACGTTCTGTTTTGTACCACTTGCTGAATCTCCATATCTTGTCTGTAGTTGCTTCTGCAAGTGTCTCGTCCAACCATTTCTTCTTTGCTCATTGGCATATGCGCTTGAAAAAGTTCTGTGCTTTCTTGATCTCCCTTGCTGATGTCCAAGCTTATGCAGCCATGTTCTGCTTTGTGGGTTCATTGCGCTTCTCGCAATTCCTTCACCTGTCTGCAAGCATTCTTCGTCTCTCTCCCCCACCATGCGCATGCATGTGTGCTTGGTTTCCTTTTGGGGACCACATTCTCTGTGGACTCTTGGATCAGTGTATGAAATTGGGTAACAATCTCATCTAGTCGAGATCGGTCCATGGATTCCGACATAGCTTGTTTGATCTCTCTCATGCTGTCAGAGAAGCCTCCTATTTTTATCTTGAAGTCTTCCTCCCATTCTCCCTGCATCAGCATCTTTTAGGTTGTATTGCTCTCCAAGTGCATTTTCCACCACTTCCACAGTCCTGATCGATCCTCCAGAATATTGCACTGTGGTCTGATGTGTACAAGGATTCAGGATCTACTCTCCAGTCTACCAGGAGGTTGCCTGTAATAGCTGCAGCAGTTGGCGAATGTCAGATCTATGACTGACTCAGCTCCATTGTTGCTTCTGGAAAAGAACGTGGGTATTCCCTTCATATTCATCATCAGTAAACCTCTCTCTACCATCCACTCAACAAGTCCCTCTGCCCATGGGCTCTCCCGCTGTCCTTCCCGTGACCATAGGGAGTGGTGGGAGTTGTAGTCACCAGTAATCACCATCAGGAACGTCTCGGTCAATGGTGAGCCTCTGTACTCTGTCTAGTGCCATCTTGCCATTTTCATCTCTATCCATTGGGTTGTTGTACAAATGGACCAGCCATAATTTTGTTCCTCCTTGTTGTATGTCTAGCACCTGTATATAGGGATCTGTCGCAATGTCTGATCTCAGTGTTACCGTGAGGTCACTGCGCTTTCGAACAAAGGTTATTACTCGTGGGCGCTCCTCCTCAGCCCCAGCTGGGAGTATTGCCTGCCATTCCTGGGCATTCATGCTCGCCGAGATCCACTTCCCATGTGGAGTCTTCCACCACCATGGTTCTTGAAAAAGAAACACATCAATTGATTTACATAAATCTGCAAGCACTGCTCGCATGATTAACGATGACCATGAGCAGTTCAACTGCATGAAGTTCACGGGTTTCGTACATGTTGTCTGTTGGTGTTGTGTTGTATCATTCATTGGCTACTGCGTGGTTGTTCTGGGTCACGTATGTCCTCAATGACTTGTGCCAGTGAGCTTCCATTGCTACGTTGTTTCCATGACAGCTGGAGTTGTTCAGATTGTATCTCTGGAAAAACAACTTGGAGCGTAGCGATGATTTCTTTTTCAGAGAGTATATTATTCGCGTACCTTCTGCCAGAGGTGGGTGGGTCAGCTTCTGACTCCGTCCCAGCCTCTGTGGCAGGATTTGTCTGCTTTTTCCCTTTTCGTTTGCGAGTGACCTTTCTCCAGCCTCCATTCGCATTTCCAATGTTCCCCACTGGGTGTGTTGGTTTTGGATCTCTATGATCTCCCAGCCTACGGATCCGGACTGGACACATCCGGTCATTCGCTGCATGGTTTGCTTGTTCCCCATCTTTGCAGTTTGCACATCGCCTGTGCATACAGACCGTTGCCATCTCCCCTCTTTCCAATGCCTCTCCCCTTGCTTGTATGCACCTGTGAGCATTTCTCTGTGTGTTCATTCTCGTGGTGGTCCTCCGCACACAGTCAGGCACCTTGCTGCTGCTTTGCATGCTGCTTTCCGGTGGAAGCCTTGGCATCCCTCACATTGGATTGCCGGTGGTTTGTCTGTAAACTCCTTCACAATACACTGATGCCCAGTAAAGCGATACGCTTCTCCTCTCCATTGTCATGTACCTTGCATCCTCCTCTTTCTCAAAGGATACAACTACCGATGATGCATACTTCCCTTCTTCTATGAGTTTTCCCTCTGGTCTCACCCATCTGAATGCTCTGATTGTCCTTCCCCGTATGTCAGGGTTCTTCGCTATGAGCTCCTGTCTGACTTCTTCAGCTGTCCGGATTCCACTTCCATTGACTATCCCTGTCTTGACGCCGCATATATGGACTGAGAACCATTTCTCGTCTGGGTATGCTTCTACTTCGCTGTGTCCTGGGAACACAATCTGTTTGAAGATATGTGCATGTGGTTCTAGATCTGCCGCTCGCTGGTCGCTTCGTAGGTTCAATATGCAGCTATTATTCACATTGAACCGTACATGGACAACTACAAACTCCTTCATCTCGTCGTGCTTGGCTAGTTCTTCATTGACCCTGATGGCGACCATTTCGGGTTTAGGCCTTTCATAGTCTATCAGTATGTGCTTCGAGAGGGTACTGCTCTCAGGCGGTCTCTGTCGTTCAGCAGGGCCATTTTCTTTTTGACGTGACCTTGTCTTGCTCTAGGTGTCTTGTTCATGGGCTGTGTGATGCGATCTTTGCTTTTCATAGGTGTAGTTTGTATATCTTTTGTTATGGTACCACCTACGCTAGTTTCTACACCCTCCATCGTCGCAAATTTACCCAGTGGGAAAATTAGCCAGATGGTGGTTTCGGATCAAGGAGCGGTGCAACCAGTATTGGAAAACCATGGTAAAGGCTGTCGATGAAACGAACATCAACACAATTTCAATGCGAGGAGAGTGGACATACCAGATTCTTATTGCAGCTACGAAATCTGCATGACAAACACAATAGTGCTGGTATCAGCTCTACTTGCGCAGTTTTGAGATTTGAAAAGTCAGGGAGCATGTTCTTCCACGGCTGCACGTCGGTTAAATAGCCCTCGGGATGGTGACTGACGCACACTGCTTGGCTACCCGCATCCTTCATTGACCTTCTTACTCTGCAAATTTCTCTTCTCATAAGCCATGAGTGAGCTCCTCGTGTCCATCTCTCTCTCTCTCCATCCAAGATCGTCATGTTAGTGTCCTTGGATCCAGGACTCAACCGTCGTTCATTGAGATGGGAAATTCTATGCAGATTCATCCGGCGATTCATCGATGATGGTGAGAAGAGTTGAGGAGTTGTTTTCATTCTGATCACTGTCCCTAAAAAGGAAACTAAATATAGACAGTGGGGAACCCACAAGAGCGAGCGTTAGCATTCAGTAATATGGGAGATTCTCTTGAGACCGACTGCTATGCTTGTAATGGCAGAAACAGAAAAGAACAAGCGGGCAGTGAATAAACCAGAAAATACCCGTCGAGACACCACACAGCAATAGATACTTCCTTTCGCCACCTGAATCTCATGCTAATAAGGAATCCCTAAAGAATTAGAGAAGAAGCGAGCAAAAAAAAAGACGATTTCAGATGAGGTGGGAATCTGCCTGGTGTGTGTTTGTTCATGCTTGGCGAAGGAATTTGGCTGGGCCTCGTGCATAGTCAATGTATGCTTCGCTAACGCTCGCAACCAGAGTCCGTGCTACGCGTATACACCAACACCTACCCGTTACTCAATCCACTATGCTACGGTACCAAATGAAGCATTGATACAGTCATGTCCCCACAAGGTATGGCCTCAGCACCAGCGTCAACGCTATGAGATTGCTATAGATAGGTACTATAATTATGCCATTACACCCTGGTGTATGTAAGTACATTAGTTTATGCTCTAAGCCCGTCTGAGGGTGTCAGCTTGTCTAAGCATATCATCGGCATTGATAATTTGTTCCCATGTTATACCCATCCTACTCAACCAACCAAACGACAGCCAGAGCTGATCATCCCGACAGTCTCGAATGTAAGACCCGACTGCCACAGCTACTAAGTTCCTTACCAAGGTACGAGCAGCTAACCATTGCCCCTCCCGTGTATCATCATACGAAACAATAGAACCGTATGCCTCAAGTCCTCTTTGAGTCAACTCCAGCTCCGAACATGTCGAGTAATCAAGATTTCCGCTAAAAGCACGACGTCCCAATGACCTTGATGGCTCCAAGTATGAACCGGCTTCCCTCAGCTCGTTTTGGTGTGGGTCGGAGAGAAAGGAGCAGACGGTATCATGAAAAGTACAACCAGCACAGGCGGCCTTACCAGGCACATACGTCTCTGGCATTATACATAAGACTTCCTGTGTTTGTCCCAATTCCTGACAAGCCGTGCAGCGATATTCCCCTTTCATTACCTTTCCTGCAATAGTGAGATATTGACCAGAAACAGAGTGAAAAACATACGTGAAAACCCAACCTCTCGAGACAGGTCTGAGGTTGAAAAAAACGCTAAAGGAGAACAGTCATAGGTCCTTGTGGTATAAAATTCCACAGGAGTCCTGGAAGAAAGATGTTAGACGGGAATCCAATGGAATAGAGACAGCTACCTCACGCTTTGAATCATTATTACGAGCTCCCTGTACCAACCACGGATCTCTCCTGAGAGCAGACAATAGCTTAACCTTCCCAGCTTCTTTTCTATTGCTGTCAGTGGCCTTGTCCTTCACTGTGTGTACCTGTTCAGAAGTACAGAACAAAAGAGCGCAAGAGGGAATTTCACCTTTGGGAGCTGGAAACTTTTTGCGACTGCACTGGTCACAGATACTCGTAAGTGGCTACCATAACTACCATAAGAAATGTGAAGATTCACTATCACCAAAAAAATCTCCAAAATGTTTACAGCCATTCTTTAGTTCTGTACTTTTCGACAACCTCGACGAGCTTCATATGTAAGGCTCGACAAACAAGAACACGAAGGGGATCATCAAGATCTTTAGCAGCCGGAATCTAGGACGGAAGGCTTAGAATTATGGGCTTCAAAAGACTACTGCCCACTCACCAGGTGACATAACATCTTCGATACAAACACCACAGCTTCTGGTTCACTCGATATCGTTGATGCCTCTTCAAAGAGGTGAACCGACGTATCCACAAATTGTGGCCATGATTGAGCTTTCTCCACAACTAGTGTCGCTGACATGTTGTCGTGTTGAGAGACTGGGTTTTGTTCTGTTATAGTTTTGATCGCAATGTTCAACTTGTTGGCACGTGCACCACTTGTGTACTTACAGACTGTGTGACCATTCAAAGTCCCCTCCTCAGCGCAATTCAAATGATCCAATTATAACGGACTCGTTTATTGTATGAGATGTTGATTTTTTTCACAGAGCTGCTCCTGGTTTGCTTGACTTCTTGATTACTTCCCTTATTATTCCCTTATTTCAGCCTTGGGCTATGTGTTGCACCTTCATGTATTGGGTTGGGTCCAATGATACCAAACAAATAATTTACAATGACCGACCCTGTGCACTGGATGAACCAAAAACCGTCAGTCATGTAGCTAATAGAAACTTTGGTCGATACTCACCATTTCACGTCATTTTGGTAAGACCCAGAGAAAAGAAACAACAGGACACAAAATTATCACTCAGTCAGTCAACGGACACATCTCGGCATTGCCATGCGAATGCATCGACGTGTACACCATTCCAGACTCTCGCAGATTCTCCACAGTAGGCTCGTGGACGTCCGAAACAATCCTCTGCAGGTCTGGACGTGTACGCATTAGCCATACGATCTGCAGGACGCCAATGGTATCGATGCCAGAGTCTCCCTCAATGGGTTTTCCAGCCAGCCAAAATACGAGAAGGAGGCCGGTAGAGGCGGCAAGACCTAGGAGGAGTGGGGTGAGGTTGATCTGGGGGAAGAACGTTAGATAAGGGGTAACAGTGGGAAAGTGGACGACTTACATTCAGACATGTAGCAGTGAAGGGATATGATATGGTCGCGTTGCCTGTCATGGCTTCCACTTTGTAGATACTAATGTTCTCTATGTTATACGGATCAGTCATTCTTCAGTCCGCCGGCTTTGGCATATAAGACTACATGGACATATATCAGTATAAAAGGTGATGGAGGCAGGGAGTGAGACTAACTTGCCCAGTAGGAGGCCGCTGTCACACTTGCTAGCAAGTTTTCTAAATCGTGAAGTGTAATTTTGGGTGCTGGACAGACAGGGCTGTCTAAAAGAATAGGGTGAAGTCTGAGGCCTTCTATTACAAACCTCTGGTGTTAGGATTAGACGGGGGTAGTAAGGGAACAGAATACGTACTGCTCAACAATGGTTAATAGTGTTGGAGGATATCCATACAGTATACCAAGTTTCCTTATCTTTCTCCCGTCATTTGTTTTACTTACTATATATATCTTACCTCCTGTCCTTGACTCGATCACTATATAGCTTAACCGTCAATACCTGAGTACCTCAGTCGTTCCACCTTCGCTGTGCCCGACTGAGGTACATATACCTTACTGTCTCTAGCTTATAACTTACTCACACTCATTCATACTAGATCATTACTTATATCCTTTGTCTTTAGGTACAGTACCTTTCAATACAGTCGTTCCACCTTCGCTGTGCCCGACTGAGATCATTACTTATATCCTTTGTCTTTAGGTTATGGTGCCCCGTAGCCTATAGCTCAGTCAAAAAGGATACGTGGCGAAATTTTTATTATCAACGACTCAACTACTGCCCACTTGTTACGATTCATTCTTTTCTTTTTCTTTTCTTACATATTCCCGCTTACCATATGGTGCGATTCCTATCGGACAGTTCCCACAGTACTATTTTTAGTCTACCAAGCATGTATTTAAGTAAAGCCTCAGCTGGCCTAAACCCCAGCTTCGGCTAAGGTTTAATCTACCTAACTCAAAGCTCCCCACTTTGTGAACTATCTAAGTTCGCACCTGGCTCTATTCCATCATCTTTGACCTCCAAGTTTATCGTCCACCGAAGTGCGAGTAGCGATCCTTGGTTGATCTAAGCCGATAAGAGTTAGTGGCTAACATTTAGCCGAAGCTCGTCATATGTTGCCTAGCGTCACGTCTGAGAACGAGCGCTACCCAACCTCTTAAACACATCTGTATTCATCGTCTGACCAGCGAGGTCATCGCCCTATGTTCGTGAGGACAATCTCGTGATTGTTAGCGTACAGCAAGTGGACCAACGGTTCGACGCTCACCATTTTCCCTGATCCTACTCTTCCTCGCAGTACTAGTTTGGGTGGTACCCTTCGTGATACATGACCCACTCTTTCTAGTTCTGATCACTATCCTTCGAGTCTTCCTCCTCACACGTTACCTTCCCTGCCCCAATACTAGCAGGTCTGCTGGTAGTGGCATATGTGGGGTTTCCTCGGATCTAGACCACGAACTTCTTTAAGCTATCCCTAAAGTCAGCCTCGGTGTTGGCAGTAATACTGCTGACATTAACTGACCCATTCCCACTTGACAACCCTTTGTTGATGACCGGTCCAGTCTACGAGACCGACCTCGACTTAATCATCGCTACACTCGCTGCCCTCACCCTCCTGGCCTTATTGGTCGTATGGTCCATCGTGACTATCGAACGAGCACCAAAATAAGCCCCAGGACAGATGCCCTTATCCGATGCCATTCCCGCAATCTCCGCCGTTTTTATACTCTTTTTCTTGTCCATCTTCATGTACCAGATTCACCGGTGTTGTCGCCAACAAAGGTGAGTCCGGGCCCAACTTCCATTTCACTACGTTCCAACCACCCCGGCCTATCCGCCTCCGATAATCTTCATCCCCGCAGCGTCTCAACAAACCCTACACAATGGCCGACCCATCACACCCAGAGGACCTGGAGAATCCCTTTACGGATTGTCGCGATCCAGCTCGGGATCCTCAGAGTTGAGCACCTGACTCCTACAGAAGCGCTACCGTCGAGTCAGTCGATATCACTGATACCCGGGGCATACTCTACGAGCGAGGAGACTCGCCCATACCAGGTCTCTTCGACCAGTCTCCAGTCCACCACGAGTCAAGCGCCGAGTCAAGAGAAGAAGGAGAGCGTGTGGAGCCGAGCGAAGAAGAGGATGATACCGAGTTTGAAGGAGACGAGCTCACTGACCTCGAAAGAATCCGACTCCAAGACCTCCTCAACGGCCTCCTCATGGAGAACGAGGGGGATGAGGACGATTCCGGAGTCAGGCCAATCGACCGAGCCAGAGGATACTATGGAGGCAGCATGTTCGAAGAGGTCAGGAGAAGGAGAATCGCCGCAGATGACGCAAGGGATCGCGCCCGGCTCGAGAGGGCAAGGAATCGCCGAGACGATTTCGACAAAGATCCCGGAGAGCTTGCCCTTGGGGCCTCCGCCGCGACTACCTCCCATTCAGATGGGACAAGACCCGTTCCAGCCTCTTGGCCCGAGGAAAGAGGAGAGCCAGTCGCATGGTATCCACACACCAGTTGGGTCTACACCGACCCAGGGGAAGAGGCTGCTGTGGCCCGAGACGCGCCCGGACCAGAGCCCGACCAGCTCCCTGAGAGGCCCAAGGCCCCTACGCTCCCTGCCCCCGTCTCCTCGGACACCCAGGAGAGTGGGGAGTATTGGAGCGAGTTCCCAGACTATAACGCCGAAGAGCTTGGAGCAATTGCCGGGGCCGGGGACATCGCCCGAGTCACCCCTTTTACCCCGTCCGTCGCGGGTCGAGCATTCGCCGACCCTGTCCCTATCAACCAGCGTCCGTGGCCTCTCCTTTACCACACGCTCGTCGAGTCCCTCCGATTCCCAAGAAATGCCAGGGAGTCCCCAGAAATCCAGGCCCGAATGGACCAAGCAAGAGCGCATGACGCATGCATCCGAAGAGCCGAGGAGGACGCGCTCCAAGGGCCCAACGGATTCTGGGACCTCCCCCTCGAGCCTGACGCGACCCCAGCCGAGGTCGAGCGAAGGCAATGCGCTGCTGCCGTTCGATATGCAGGAGCAGCGCGACGAGCCGGAACCGACCTCGAAGCCCGGAGAAGAGCCTGGAACTCCTACCAGGCTGAGATCAGTGATGAGGACTCAGACATCGGACGATGGAGAAGGAACCGAGAGATCGACCGCCTCGCCCGAGAGAGGGAGGCGACAAGGGATGCCCAGCCGACCCCCGAACCAAAGCCTAGAAAAGACAGTGATGGAAGCGGTGAGGGCGGTACTCATTAACGGGGTAGTGAACCTACCCAAAATATTCGAGCTCCTCCTGTGGCACGGCCTGTATGAAATAATGATGGAGGACATGGAAAAGGACCCCTAGTGGCTTTTCACCGAAGCGGGGGAAGATTATCGACACACTAAATACATGGGGGATGTGTACTTGATGAAGAACATTCTGGAGGTGGAGACCTGGCATCAAGCCGCAATCGTGTGGAACTTAGTCCACCCCAACCACGTACAACCAGGGTGCAAGCCCTATCGACGCCCTCAGCCTATGCCTAACCCTCTTGATACAGAGGGTTTCTTCCCAGAAGGATTCTTTGCGGGCGCGGGAGAAGACGATGAGACCGAGGGGGCGGGACCCTCTACCAACAAAGGAAAGGAGTCCACGGTGCCAAAGAAACCACCGACAGGAGGAGGACCTCCCCCGCCTCGCTTCCCCGAAAACTACCTGCTGCCAGGGGATAATCCACACCTGAGGTCGCTCAGTCGACCCCCGAACCCGCCGGTGCCGCCTGTACCGCCCTCACCGCTGGACCCCATCGACCCGTGGGTTTTAGCAACGGGGGCGGCCAACAACCCCTGGAACGACGTTAAACCCAAGTTGATCACACAGCCGGAATACTTCGAGGGGGTCTCCTCGGATATCAATCGGTTCCTTCATCACTGCGAGGTGTACTTCCAGGTATTCCCCATGTACTACACCATGAACAGCGAAGGGCAAAACCCTTATCGAATTACCTTCGCTATGGGGTACCTCCGCGGCGAGGCGAAACAGTGGTGGAACGATCAATACTATCGGTATCGGGATCAGCAGGGGCATTGGAGATTTCTGACGTGGGCCGAGTTCTCACATGACCTGACTGTCCAATTCCACGAAGTGGCCGAACTAGCCATCTGGAAACAGGAGTGGAAGAAAGTTCGCCAGTCGGATTGTAAGTCGGCAGGTCGAGTTCTTCGCGAAGTTTGAACGATTGGCCCACAAGTGCGAGGAGTTCGAAGATGAAAAGCAGATGTTCGAAGCGGTCGAAGCCGCTATACGACCGATGGTGCGGAATATGGTTATGCATGGGGACAATGAGCGCCCCACAACCTATGCACAATGGAAGGCGCGCGTCTTGAGAATAGACGCCAACTACAGGTACGGAGTCGCCCAAGGATTGGGCAATAAGTCCTCCCAGAACAGCGGTTCGGGTCGAGGCAATCAAAACCAGAAGAGCGGAGGGCAGGGTTCGAGTGGTGATAAGAAGGATGCCACGGGAACCACTTATGGCGGAGCTGGGCAGCCGATGGAGATTGATAAGCTACAGAGCGACAAGCGGTGCTTCAAGTGTGGGAACACCAGGATGGAGCCGGGACCATAAATGTCTGACGGACAAATCGAAATGGCTCCCTGTCAAACTCCCCCCACTGCAAGAAGCCCAACGTCCAATGCCTACGACAACTACTTGCCGAGGCTGAAAAAGAAGAACTGGGGAAGGACACGAAGGTCGAGGAGGTCAAGGACAATAAGTCGTCAAAAGACAAGCCGGCGTCGAAATAAGCGATTCGACGACGTCGGCCAAGGACTTAGTTTCATCTGGTGCGCGCTCATGTACTCCTAGTCAGACTTATACTACGTATGTAGGTACTCCGTATGATCAATATATCAATTTTTTCGCTGCGTTACCTGTAGAAGAAACAAAGGAAGAAGAATCGCAAAACACCAACGGCGTAGGAGGGGATTTCCGCTGCTCCACGCAGTCTGCGTCCAGCACTGAACCCCAAGGGGCCGTCCGAGCTCAGGAACCCCCGCTCGACCGCACAGGGAAAGCCCCGCGAGGGCAGAGCCCCCTAGGTACGA